CGCGGGAAAGCGCCGCGCCGGGGAAGTTGCCCCGCGGGAAAGTGCCGCGCCGGTGCCCGGGCTCGCAAGGCGCGGCTCGGGGGGCCGGGCCGGCGGGCGGGCGGAGCCGGAGCCGGAGCCGGAGCTAGGCGGGGCGGGGCGCAACGGTGCGGGAGGTCAAAGGAGAGGACAGGCAGGATCAGCCTCCCGTCCGCGGCAGGCTCTGTGGCGCAATGGATAGCGCATTGGACTTCTAGATCGATGGCTGCGAGGAAGTCATTCAAAGGTTGTGGGTTCGAGTCCCACCAGAGTCGCATTTTATTCCCGCATTTAGCGCGGGGGAGGCGGCGGCGCGTCCCAGGCGCGCCAGGAGGAAATTTTGGCGACGCGAGCAGCGAGCGTTTTCTCGCTCCGTTTCCCGCCCCTGAAGTCCAACTTCACGTACTGGCCCTGGCAAAACTTGACTTTTTGGGACTTGCACGGAAAGCGGGAGTCAGTCCCTCGGAGGTGCACGAGCCAGAGGCACGGGTTGGGTCAGGCCAGCCTGCGGCTCTCTGCTCTGATGGCGAGGGGGAAAAGAGGACAATCGGGATGGAAATGAGAAAATGTAGGTTCTCAGAGTCATGGACAGATCGCAGGGACTAATCAAATATAAACAAGTATGCATGAAGGAGCAATCTCACAGGCGTTTCAAAAGAGAGAAGTCCACCAGGTTGTAAAACAGCAACTTTCCAACCGGCTCGCTTTAAAAAGTATATTGCATTTTGAATCTTAAAATGGTTGACAAAATCCTCTTTTTTTTCTTTTAAATATTTTCATGCTGCCTGTTAAGGGGCAGAGCCTCCCTTCCTTCATTTTGACCCCCAAAAGAAAGCAAAGGCCATCCGTATTGTGCCTGCATTTGGGGGGATGCTGGGGGTCCTTTTAACCCATTGCCTTTGGGTTCCAACTCTTATGAAAAAGTACTTGGTAAATACTAGCAGAAAACTCATTCTGCACATGTGGGTCCGTAGGTAACTAAAATGGCCCTAGGCAGGCACAGGTCAGAGACAGTGAACAAGAATCCAAGGGGTGCAGAAGTTTACAAGAGGGGGGCTGCTGGGGGAACCCCCCCCCCCGGCCCCAAAACATAAGGCTCCTGAAGAGTGCCGTGCTATGACAGGTTGTTGCAGAGGTGGGTTTAAGATAATTTTGCGTTCCTCAGCCACAGTTGGTAATGTTTACTGAGGAAGGATGAAGCTGAGATTTTCGGCTAAACGGACTTAAACCGATCCTTGCATGTTCATTTGGTTATTGACAATTATCCTGCTGCGGCGGTTGGGAAATCCGTCTTAAGATCCAAAGCCTATTTGGCTCATTTGTTCGTTTGCTTTCAAGAGACCGTGCTCATTGCACGGCCATTTGGAAAATGTAGTCCTCGCTGATTTCTTCTGCTTTTTAAATCCTTTTTTAGGGGTGCCTCCGGAAGCCAAAAATCGATGCAGCCAAACCGTGTACAGCCAGCTCAGGGAAAACCCAACAGTTGCAGAAGTGAGCGAAGAGAGAGGTGTTCCAGGCTTGCAGGACTGCATGGCACTCTCCCAACCTGCTTTTGGCTTTGTCCTCACACTCCCCAAACCAGGGTTGCTCTAGGAATTTGTTCCCTCAGTATTTTAGAACTGCAAGTCCAAATGTCCGTGAGGATCACGTCTTAGCTACGGGGCTCAGTCCACCATTCCCTAAAATGCTGTGTTCCGTCTGATCACCATTTAGGGGGAATGATCATCATTTAGGGGGAATCGGTGGGCTGCCTTTAGAGCGAGGGGCAACACACTTGGCCTCCAGTCACACCACGGCGATCCTGCTGTGAAATCGGGCGAGTCAAGCGCAAGATGATGCATTTCCCCTGTGCCAGTGCAACTGTCTTGGTGGTTGCTCATCCTTCGATTGTTTCTATCCTGCCTTTCTTCCTCTTGCAAAGAATCCAAGGTGGCGCGCCCAGCCTTCCTCCGTTTCATTTCATCCTCCCAACAACCCTGTGAGGTAGGCTGGGCTGCCTGGCCCCAAGTTCCTTCACGGGCAAGTAGGGACTCGAACCCAGACCCGCCCCCTCCTCGAGTCCCAGTCGGACACTCTCGCCACCAAGCCAGACTGTGGGGAAGCGCTGCACTCTGACCTGCGACCCACCTTGAAATTGAGCAGCCATCTCCTTGCTCTGCCCACCAGGGACTTCTCCCAAGAAACCCCCACCAGTGTTACCTGTCTACTTGAACCTTCACTGCGGGTCTAGAGGGATCAGGGAGAGCACCAGGTGAGGAGCTGGAACGGAGCTCCGGGGAAGACCCACCACCAAACTCCAACTCCCTGTGGGTCACGGGGCCCTCGGGGGTCAACTGTATCTACTGCAGCATCCCTGAGAAAGGGGTGTCTTCCACCTGCTCTTCTGTAGGGAAGGGAAGTCATTGCTTGGGTAACCCTTCACCACCCTGGGGAGCATGTTGGACTCCGACCTCCATCTAGCATGGCCTGGCATGAAGGTCAGGGACAGCTGCTGGGGCCTGTAGTCCAAAAATTCTGGGGGGCTTGGGAAGGTAGCTCCAATTCGTCATCGTTCTACAGCTGGAAGCTGCACAGTCTGTTTACAGCAGTGGGATCTGTGTGAAGAGCACTGTGGAGATGTGCGCTTGCTCAGCACCTCCGCCCTAATTGCTCAATTTGCACACCTTTACGAAGAAAATCAGGGTTTTAAAATCTGGTTTTGTTTCATTTTTACAGCGGCGCCCCAAGCGTCCAGTCCCGTCTCCTCATCTTTGTTTTTGGCAAGTTTGCAGAGACAGGAAGGAAACCTGGGGAGGGAAAGGGAGGGATTGGAGATGGGGGGGGCGGGAGGGGACACCGTGATGTGACTTTTAACCAGTTTGGCAAGGTGGGTGTAGAAGCCAGAGGGAGGGAGGGAGCGAGAGAGGATGAGTAAGCTGCCGAACGAGGCAAGCAAGGGAGCCGCAACCAGGTGCGTTGCGATGGCAAGGCCTTTCCCCTTGGGCTACCGTGGGCCTGGGACAAACACAAGTGAAGTCCAAGAAACAGCATGCGGTGGAACCCGTAGCCAGCCGACCTCTGGCACGGACAGAAGGGGGTCGGGGGGACCCGTGCATTTTCCTGGGGAGAGGGCTCTCCCCCGAAAGGCTGCCAAGCCAGATTTCTGACGAAGAATAAGCCCTCCAGACGCATGGGACTGTAGTTTCCCAGATCCGCCAGCCAGGGGAAAACCGGGGTAAATTACCCAGCATTTTTCTAGAGCATGTTCAAGCTGGCCTCTTTTATTTCAGGGGAAAAAGCTGCAGCAGAGTCCTGGTGTGAAACGTACTCTCAACCCATTTTCTGCTTAATTTCCTGCCCTCCTTGCTCCTCTTTCTCCCCCAAAGGTGCACTCTTCCATAAACGGAGCCTTGTGGGAGCAAACTGCGATCATGAGGACTATCATCCACAGAGAGCCCACTTTCCATAGGCATGCCTGATCGGCCTTGAAAGTTGCCTTAGCCTGCGAGCATTTCGTGCAACACCCCATTCCTTGGTTTTACTGTGCACCGTACCTTTTGCCAATCCCCAATTTCCAGCCGGTCAGTCTCAAGGGATGCACAGACAAAGCGGGCCTCCAGTCCATGAAAACAGACGCCCTGGTACAACCTCTGCGTTATTAAGGTACCTCCAGCCTGGGATAGGCCAGAGAAGCCCCTTTTATGGACCACGTCAGATGCTAAAAGTGTTTTCCTTAGCGGCAGGAAGCGTAACAGTGGAGAGAAATTGAACGGGGGCCAAATGACACTGCGTTTCATCCAGATGAACAATGGATCAACTCCACTGACAGAGTGGACTTCTCTGCCCTTTTCTCTCTCCCCCCCCCCCCCCCCCCGCTGTCTTGAGAACACACGTGAAGTTAGAAAACCTGGATGGAGGTGAACTGTAGTGCGTGGATCCCCTAAACTGTTTGGAAGGCATTTCCCTTCATCGCAGGGAAGGAGCACACCCTTTGGCAGAAGAAACCTGGAACCAATCCAAGAAATGCCAAAAGGACACCTGTAACGTTTTGCATACAGTAGGAGACGAGGAGATAACCCTGCAAGATTCACCAGCTGTGGGATATATTGCAATCGCCTCTGTTTTGCAATGGGGATTAAGGCTGCTGTGGGAATGGAATCCAGCCGGACAAGCATTTCAGACTATCGGAGTCAGAGAGAGCATCAATGAAATCCGGTACGCTGCTTAACCAAGGCAGCACCTGGGCTTCCGGAGACCTGCTGCCACCTAGTGGTAGGGCAGAAAAGAGCACGTGGCACAACCCACAACCAACCTGAACTGGGATATCCTGCGCAGAGGGGTCTGGCTGCACTGCAGGCACCCCAAAAGGCCAGCAGACCCCTTGAAGCCCCTCACCTGCATCGAGGGCTTATCAGGGACCGGATGCAGCTCCGGTCCTCTGCAACAGTGACGGCTGTTGGGCTGTGTGTCCATATCCGTGATGGGAGATGCAGTCTGCCCGACCCTCCTCTGATCTTCCTGGGAGGGAACGGCCCGGGGCCTCTCGCAAGGAGCGTCTGAGGCAGGAGCGAGTGGCCTGGCACCTCTCGGGAACCGAGCCCATGTGAGACTGACTGCAAGACCGCCAGAGAGGCCGCAGGTGGCCGAATTCCCAGACATTTCGACAGCAGCACCGAGCCGGAGGCAAGGGCCCAGCTCCGGGAGGTCGGCTGGGTTCAAATCCCAGCTCTTCCAGAAGTCACTGGGCAGCCTCAATCTAGCTGCCGTTTCCTAGTCTGTCCGATGGGAATGCCAGGAGACTACCTCGCAGGGGTGTTGGAAGGGGAGATGAGAGGACCGTCAGGCGACTCATTGTCATCCCTTACTAATCTCAACTCACGCAATGAACGACCTGAAGTTTGTTGCCGTGCTGAGCTGGTGCACTGCTGCTTTTGCTCTGCTCTAACGCAATTGTTCTGCTTTTGATTTTGAATGGATGCTGCTTTTTGAACCAGGTGTGTCTTGTCTGGAGGGCTTTTGAGGGCAGAATCCTATGGAAGTTTAGATAGGAAAAAGGCATACAATCCCCTGCTCTGGCCGGGCACGCAGCCTTTTTCCTTCCTAAACCAGCACAGGATTGTCTCTTCTTTTGGGGGTAAACACGTTAGCCACTGCCGTCTGATTCACACGTCTGTGGATTGAAGTCTAGTGCGTGATGCCCAAGAGTTTCGTCAGTGGGCTTCCTCAGCTCGTCCGGTCCCTGCTGCAGATTTAGCCTTGGATCACCGGGCGCGGCAGAATCCCGATTTCGCGGCGAAGGCCCTCCACTGTCTGTTCCCATCGCTCCTCGTAATAGACGTTCAGGATGCAGCTGGCATGGCTTCCGCTCCGCACGGCCCATGGAATGAGCTCTGTGGTCAAGATCAACAGCTTCCTGGATGAAGCAAGAGCGAGCGAGCGAGGGAAACGAAATGGTTAAAAAAGCCCTATGTGTCTTGGGACCGAGCGGCCGCCTTCTCCCCTATGAAAGTGCCTGGGGATTAAGAGTACTGACGGAGGCCCTTTGCTGAGAGCGCCAGCCCCTCTGAGCTGCAGCCTGAACTACGGTCTCCTCCTGGATCAGATGCTTTTGCCTGTACTCTCATTATTAAGCTGGAGAAGTTCTCGATGCATTCAAGAGCATGTATCTTTTTTTCGCCTGCCCAGGGATCTTTCAGAGAATGGTTTTTAACGGCTACTTCTTTAATCTCCTGCATGAATCCGGTTTTTACCATTTGGCTTATTTGGCATCCCAACTGCTGCTCTTAAAAGCTTGTTTCTCTCTTACTAGGGTTCCCATGACTTGTTTTCGCCCCACAAGGGTAAGAGAATCAATGAGCTGCAGAATAATCCAAGCACAAAGAGGGGAGTGGCACGGAAGGAGTAAAAACTGTACCTAGTGTCATGTTACACTGCTGAAGCAACAGCCCAGAAATACTGTTTTTAAAATAAAGGAAATGTTTGTCAATTGTTCTACCTGCTAACCGGAAGCACGTTTGCATGAAAATAGCAGTTACAGGCTTCTCTGCGTACCGGGGATTCAGGCGGACAGGACCAAACACAGCTCCCAGAATGCACATGGGCAGGCCAGTCTGGACAGCCTCAAACCATTTGACCACAATTTCCCCTATAAAGAAGCAATGGGAAACAGAAGCAAGTCAAGTGCCTGTCGCTGAGTGGAGGGGGATCTTGTTTAACTGTGCAATGAGGCTTTGGGACTAGGACAAAAGCAGAAATTCATTAGGGTTGGGGACGACGGGCACCCATGCAAACGTCAGGATCCTTTGGAAGCTGTACGTGCAACTTTGGGACCCAAGACTTCAATCTGCTGGAAATGCCTCCCCAGAAAACTTCATTTTCAGCAGCAGTACCTTTCAGCTGCAATAGGCTGAGTATTTTGGCCTTTCTTGCCCTGCCCTTGTGTCCTGGGCCCCACCGACCAGAGGCTGCTTCTTCAGAAGGGAATTCCAGCCACATCGCAGCCGTGCCAAAGAACCAACCACGGGCAGACACACCTTCCCGTCGCTACACCTTGTGCAAAAAGGGCCGCCCCCTGCATTCAAGGCCTTCCTTGTCATCCGAGGTACTAGGTACGTATTCAAAAACACTCAGAGACACACACACACACACACAAAGAAAGCTGCCTTCCAAATCTGCTCGACTATAGTTCCTATCAACCCCAGGCTTTCTGTCCAATGACTGGGGGATTCGGGCTGCTGGGACGTGCTGTCCAAGGCACCTGGAGGGCACTGCGTTGGGGAAGCATGGACAGAACAGACAGGCGAGGAACACACGGGGGGCCCTTTCCCACTCTGCCTTTCTGAGTTCCCCTTGGGCGAGGAAGATGGAAACTGGTGTGGGCAAGGGTCCCAGGGCTCACCTCTTGGTAGCCTAAAAATAGCTACCGGAGCTGAGCGCCAGGCTCCGCAAAGCCCTTCTTCAGTTTCAGCTAGGCGTTTGGCACCGCGAGAGATCAGATAACAGGCGAGGCCAGAGAGACTCGTTCTTCACCCACTGTCAACTGGGAACGCTCCCGCTTCGTTTCCCAAAGGTGTTTAAACGCGGCACAGGCGCCGCTTCCACCTCCAGCTGCGCAGAGGTTGGGTCCTCAAAGCAGGATCCACCTGCTGGCCTCGATCCGGATCGCACTACTCCTGCTACGACCTGGAGTATCCTGAGCAGGGCCGAAAGGGAGGGCAGCGACTCCCGCCGCGTGCCCCACATTATCCCCACGGGGCTACTAAATGCAGACAGAACATTCCGAGAGAACATTCCTGGCTGGCTTCTGTGACGCTCCTTTAAATTGTGCCCGGACGTCAAAGGAACAGCCGCCATTTGAACTGTCGATGTTTTAGAAATGGGGCAGCACGTCCACGTGGGAGTGAGGGCTGCAGCTGCACGGCCGTGGCCATCCCCCCAAGTCCCACCGTGTTCCGCACCGCAGTGTGTCCTCTCCAAAGAGGCTTCTCGGTGTCAGACTCATCCCTTGAACTGGAAGAGGCGCAGTGCCCCAAACTCCTAAGTTGCTGAAATGAACTGTGGTTTGCTTAAGCCACGATTAACCCAGAGCGCCCAGGTTCTCATGTCACAAAACCACCTTTGACCAGGACACCCGAGCGTCGGGCATTTAAAATGGAGCTGGCACATGACGCCCCCACTTCATCTTTTCCTTCCCCGATTGTGCAAACCCAACCCAGTGGCTGCTCAAGCACGTGGGCCAAACCCTGAGTGCTTCTCAGCCCCTCAGGGGAGGGCACCAACCCGCTGGGCATCACGGGATCTTAATTTCCCCGATGGCGGTGTTGCCAGCGCGATCTATGGAAAACGGAGACGCTGTCGCTCTGGGCCAGGCCCTCACAAGCCGCCTCGGCACAGCCTGTGGGGAAGAACGGTGGGGCGGGAGCTGCTGTGACGGACCAGGAGGTGTGGCCCCGAGACTCACCCAGCATGTTGGTGCGCATGCCAAGCAGCGTGTGCATCAGATCGTGGACCTCTCGGTACCGCTGAATCACGTAGGCCAGCTCTTCGTCGTCGACGAACTTGACCGGCATCCTCGTGTCTGGAGAGACCCTCTGCCGATCCGAAAAGAAGGCAGGCTCAGAGAGGTCCCCAGTGCCTCCACAGCTAAAAGGGTTCACAGCAGCCGGTAAACTGTTACTCCAGAGGGAAGCGCTGCCCTGGCTCACAAGCAACACGGGCTGGCCAAGCAACGAATCTCTCCTGGGCTCCTGGGCTCCCAGTGGGCAGTTGAAGATATGTCAGATGAGACCGACTGCAGCGGGTCTTTAAGCAAGACTTCCCCAGCCTGGGGCCTCTCCAGATGTGTTGGACGATCATTCCCACAATTCCCAGCCTTTTGCCCTGCTGGCTAGGAATTGTGGGAGCTGCAGTATTGTATCCTGCTTTTGCACAGGGGCCATGTGCCACTCGGGAGAAAGGCACACACAGAGCGTGAATCTTTTGCCCGCTGTTGCCCCCCAAGTGACTGGGGATATGGAGTTGCCAACACATTGTGTCTCTGCTAAATTTGTGTTCTCACGCAAATTGAATTTACATCAGGTTGCCCAGGGGCCTCAGAATAGCAAGAACTGTCAGGATGCACAAGTTCTTCCTGCTGAATGCTACAAACACACATCTCACAGCAATGACCTTTCCACTTTCTTCTTTGTAGCATTTTCAGGATTCCCAACTCCATGGGGCCTAGAAGCATGCTCTTTTGTTTTTAAAATGGAAATGCGGATTCTCAAGGTCGTGCACCTTACCGAAGCTGTATTGCTCATGCTGTACTCACATTATCATCCAAAAACCGAACATATTCCCGGCCGAAGGTCCCATCTGGAAGCGCTCGAAGTCCTGCGATGTCCACTGTGGAGAGGCTTATCCGAGGTCGCTCTCTGCACATGAAATTGAACAGGTTGGTTCAGGCCATGAAATCCAGAGTGCAATAAAGAAACCCCACAACGAAGCATGCAGTTATTATTATTACATTTCTCTACCATTCATAGCCTACGCTTTCTGGGTGCTTCACAACATGTAAATGGAGCACCCACCCAGATTTCAACCAGGCCCGGCCCCGCTTAGCTTCCAAGCCGCTAACCCTTGTCGTCAATCTATTTGCATTCTCGTATTTTGTACTTCTGTGCTTACACGAATCTAAGATACCAAACACACAGTAGCCCAGAATCCCAGACTAGACCAATAACAAACAGAAAATGTTGCAGCGTGGAGAGCCAGCCAGGCCCTTTCTCCAGCACTCCATTCCGTTCTCCCTATGGATGGAGAAGACAATGTTCACGCACTGCAGGATGCGACGTCCCTCGGGGTCTTTCCTCATCTTCTCCCGGAGGTTCTGCAGAGCCAGATATCCCGTGGTCTCCCCAAGGACAGCCACCATATCTGAAAACAGAGTGGAAGAGCAAGGAGGGACGGAACTGAAAATTAATTGCCAAGAGCGAACAGCCCTGATACGAATGCAAGGGACCACCGCACTAGGCTGCCGCGTCCACTTACGGTCGCGCGAACAGAACGCTGGACCAGACGGGAAGGGTCCTCTTTGCTTCCTTGAGAGAGCCCCTGAGAAAAGGACCTGCAGTACGACCTGATGCACTCGCTAGCTCGATTTTGGTTTTACTCTGTGCCTTTGTCTTTGTTTCGTTTTTACACTTGTACTGCATGTTTTTTAATGTGTTGTACAGCACCCAGAAAGCTACCTTGATTGGCCAGATTAAAAAAATACTAAAAAGCTTAGAATTATAGAAATCTCTGTTTTCCAAGATGTCCTATAGCAAGGTTTGGGGGAAAGCCCTTTCATTCAAGGGGCCCAGCAATTTCTCCTGCGCCAGGAATGCCGAGGGAGGTACATGAAGTCACACACAATGGCGGGCCCAGCTCACCATGCCGGTAGGGGTTGTAGAGTGCCATGAATGCGGAGCCGGCTGCCAGCAGGCCTTTTTGCAGAGGGCTGGTGGGGATGTGTCCCGGATACAGGGGGGAATCTTTTCCTTCCTTCATGGGGTTCTCGGAGGCTGATGGCTGGGCAGCGTGGCAGAACCGGCATCCTGGACCTATGGAAACAACAACCCCATTAGAAGCGTGGAGTAAGCCCTGCTCCCCACAACACAACAGATCAAAGTATAGTTTGGATGGGTTGTTGTGGAACCAAGGGTGGTTGTGTAGTAGGAACCCAGCCATGCTAACAAGCCATGGTTTGTTCACCACATACAATCCGAGGTTCCGCCACAACCCACGGTTCAATAATGACCCAACCCTGTCTTGGGAAGGGTTAACCCTGAAGCCCAATTTATACAGAAATTACATACATACATACAGTTGATCTGTCTTTCTGCTAAAGGTGTCCTCCCTTTTATCCTCAAAGAAACCCCCTGTCAGGTAGAGTACCTCTGATGTAGGCTGAGATATACCTGACCCATGTTTGTTCAAGAAGAGGTGAGAATGAATGAGGAGCTGAACCCCCAAACCTCACTGGACCGTGTCCAATCATCTGGCTGTTCTGCCCACCTTATTGCAGTCCTTATACACATTCACCTGGAAGGAGCCCTCGCAGAAGTCCTTGGGGCTTCCTTCTGTGGAGACACGCACCAGAACCACAGGTGTGTGCAGCTAAAACGGACCCTTCTGTGTTTTCTGGGCAGCCGGTGTGGCCTAGGAGTTGAGTGTGCCTGGCCGGGGCTCCGGAGGTCTCCACTGTGGTCACTGAGTCCTGAAACTCACGGGGTGCCTTGGGGCCAGTCACTGCCTACCGCGCCCCACAAGGAGAACTTGGGAGGCTGCCTTGGGCTCCTTGCAAGAGGAGGATGCAGGATAGCAACGCAACGCAGTAACAACCCAGGTTTTGAGGGGCTCCGGGTGTTTGCACCCGAGGAAGAGCTCGGTGGAGCACGAAAGCTTGCGCGTTTGTGCGGACGAGGCGTCCCGGCCGCAGAGTTTCGCTTTCTTTCCCGCGGGCCCACCCAGCTCCCGCCACTGCCAGTAAGGAGTGTGCTGCCACCCCCACGGAAGGGCAGCCCCCGAAGGCAGAGCAGCGGTGTTTTTCACAAGGGGTGGAGGCCCAGGCACTGTGATCCGCGAGGACTGCGGAAGGGGCAGAGGCCAAACACGCGGGGGACTTGCCTCCGATCCTGCCGGACCCGAGCGCTCCTCCCAGTCGCACTAGACGAGGCAGGCAACGGGGCACCCGCCGGGGCCACGCCATGGCTCGGGGAGGCGCCTTCCGAGGGCAGGGGCGCAACTGGGCCGCCTTTGCCCCCCGGCTCGCCGCGCAAAGCGTGCCTTCGCCCCGACGCCCGGATCCGCCGCCGCCCCTGCGCTTCCTCCCGCCGCGCTGCAAGGCTCGCCTCGCGAGCGCCACCTCCTGGCGCAGGCGGAGCGCGTTCACAGGGACTGGCGCCTTTAAAGACTACGCGCGGCGCGGGGGCGCAGTGCCCCAGACTGTTCTTTCTGCCAAAGGCCCCGGGTGGTGGAATGGTTGGCACGGATGGCGTAGTGGTTAGAGCGAGGGACCAGGACTCGGGAGGTCGCGGGTTAAGTCACCGCAGCCCCGATGGAGTAAACTGAAGGCTTCTTGTGGCGGGAGGCAGAAAATGAGGGTTCTGGGGACACCCTGAGAAGGCAAGGCTGGAGAAAAACTTCATGCCAGGGAGAGTGGAAGGCTGAGCACAAGCGCAGCTATGAGGCGCGTCCTTGCCCTTAAAAGCGACAACAAAACCCAGCAGCCCCGAGCTTGCAAGAGCGGGGCAGGGCATTCCTGGGGCGGCCCAAGCCCGATTCCAGCGAGGGAGCGAGCGAGCCGCGCGGAACCTTCGGCAGCCGTCGGCGGTCCGCCCGGGCCTTTCCGGCCGGCGCGCCCGCTTCCGGGAGGACGGCGAGGGGCAGCAGCCAAGATGGCGGCGCCCTTACGGGCCGCGGCCTCGAGAGGTACCACGCCGCCGCCGTCGCGCGCCATGCGGGCGGCGCTGGCGTCCTTGCAGGGGATCTTCGCCGTCTACAAGCCCCCGGACGTTCCCTGGAAGCTGCTGCGGGACACGGTGGAGACCCAGCTGCTGCGAGGCAAGCGCTGCCGCCGGGGGGCCTCCGTCCGCCGGGATTCCCGGGCCGAGCCTCACATTGCACCCGGGTGTGCGCACCTGGACTTGTCCTGCTGCTTATGGGCTGGGTGCCCCGCGGCTCCAGGGGAAGGAGCAGCTCTGCAGGGAGGATTCAAGGGTCCCCGTGCTGCCCGCACCTTCACAGGCTCTGTGCCCTGTTGCTGGGGGTCATGGGCAGGAGGGGGCGACTGCCCTCCTGCGGGTGGTCTCCCACGGGTGGGTGGGGAGCCACTGTGCAAACGGAAGGGTGCAGGGGGTGCCCGGGTCCGATCCAGCCCCAGGGTACTTCCCATTTTTCTACAACGCCTTCATAGTTGCCAAGTTCAACTTGGCGTTGGCAAACGCAGAGCAAGTTGTTTCGGAAAGCGAATGATCTACAAAGGGGTTTTCCTTAAGTGCCTCTTTGTGACAGAGCCTGTTGGATGTCTATGTGGTGGAAATCGGTAAAGCTGAAGAATTTAGAGGAGTAAGAGATTAAAGTGTCAAAAATACATATTGCTGGGGAAAATAGGTAAGAGAGTGCAATCACAACTCTGTCCTGGTTGAGAGGCTTGCATTGAGACAGTTGAACAAACCACTGCTTTGCTGTATCAGACTAAGTGTCAACTACTATACTTAGCACAAGGATGGGGAAAAGAGACCCCCACGTGGTTTTAAGGGGGAAGGGGATGGGCTGCAGACATTCATAATAGGTTCTACCAGATACAGTGATGTGTTCAGGTTGTAACAGGAATCCTCCCTCCCTCCCCAAGGGAAGAAGGAACAAACCAACAGTGGATGATTTGAAGTTTTGAAAATATAAGATTGAGCTGTTCCACGAAAAACATCCCTCCACTTCTTTAGGCAAAATGTACATGTGGGAAACAGAGGTAGAAAGAAACTAGACCACTTCAAAAGATGCACAAGTTCACGTTGGAAAGTCATGTTCTTCCTGGTCAATTCTTCTCCTCTGTGGTAACATGAAACCAGACAATTATTTCCCAACGGGAGCAAAGTTGTCACCCTTTAAGAAGCAATTCTCATGCATGTGAGCAAAAGACATTGTGTCTTAGCAGCATTGATCCAAGTTGGTAATATGGTTTTTAAAATAATCAGTTTCCATTTATATTCTGTCTTTAGACTTGAACTCATTAAAGTGGCCAGCGCCACGACAACACGTCCGCTTCTTGCCTGGCACGGTGGAAGGGAAGGATGGGAAGGAGCTGACGATTACGGTTTCCCAGGTCCCTGTACTAGCTGACCATCCCCTAGGTAAGATGCAGAGAAAAAACTGGTGTTCTGGAGTGGCCAAGAACGGATGTTACAATCTTGGTAAGCGACCCTGCTGTGATTCCTTTCACGGTTGGGGTCATGTGGCAAATCTATGCCAATCAGCACCATATCAGGACTGGTACCAAATTTGTGGAAGTCCTCCGGGGACTGAGATTGCCTCTACGCCCTCTTCTGCTGTTACTCAGATGCTGGGAAAAGGCAGTGCTTTTTCAGAGAGCCTATAGGAATCTCTTGCCATTGTCCTGATTTGCTGCTCCCGTTAATTGTTGCTGCTTGTGGAAGCTAATTACCTATCTCATTTTTGCTGTGCTCTGCTATTTGTTTTGTTGGGTTTATTTTGGATTTAATTGCTCTTCTGCTCTGCAGTCCGTGAAAAACATTTTGTAGGCATTTTTAGAATACAAGACAGAATGCAGCTGTCAGGACTCATCATCCTGTGGCCTCCAAAGATAGAATAGTGGGGATTCCACCCACCAAGATCTTTGACCTCAAAAGGGGGACTTGGAGATCTGACTGCCCCTGACTTTCTTGCAGCTGGTACAGAAAAACCTGTGTCTGCTGGCCCCTAAGGTCAGGAAATTGACCTTGGAGAAGGTGACAGGTGAAACCCAGAGAACTCGGTGATCTTTCCTTCCTGAGCTTCTTCCAGTGTCCACTGCTAGCTGGCGATGATTCGAAATGGGGTTGCAAACATCTGATTTCAGCTAACTAAGGTTTGGGGTGATGGAATGACTGCACTGAGCTTTCTTGGTGAAATGAAGTTCCACATGTTTTTCAAAAAGTATATTGTTTTTCTTTACAGTTTCTGGACCAATATTCACCAATTTGAAAATTGGAGCAGGTCATCTTCTAGATAAAAGGTCATCTGGCGTGTTTTGTAAGTAAAGGAAGTATTCGTCCAGTCTTCCCCAACTTAGTAGTTTCCAGATGTTTTGGATGTCAGTGTCCATCAGTCCCAGTATGGCCAGCAGTCAGGAATTCTGGGAGTTGTAAACTGGGGATCCATAACGTCTGGAAGACATCAAGTTGGGGGGCAGCCGCCCTAGATGATGATCATCTGATACTCAATCAAAAGCATTGGCTGGGTTCCAGCAAACCTGCGGTGTTTAGGCTGGGAAGAGTAACTGGCCTGAGGTCATTTATTATAAGCTTCATGGCCTGGCTTGGTTTTATTTTCATGTAAAGGATTGCTGCCTCACTTTTTCTCAAACAACTTTTCCAAGCAGCTTAAACAACAAACAACCCCTTCTCACCCCCAAAAGAGTCTAAGCAGAATGTTGCATAGAGCTCTCTTCTCTTCCCTGGCCATGACCATCCAAAACTATCTACAGTTCCTCCTTCCCAAACAGGCAGAAGGCCATTCCAAAAGCTGCCGTAAGAAAAAGGGAAACATTTTAAAGCTGACCTGTCAATTCTTCACCCCCGTCCCCTCTTTGTCTTTCAGTGCTGGGGGCGGGTCATGGCAACAAGCTCCTGACGGACTGGTACAACGCTCACCTCACCAGGGTAAGCAGCATTCCCTGATTCTGATGCCCCATTGTGGATGTGGCCAAGCAGACACCATCCCAACACAAGAGGGAGGTCTGACTTCCAGGTCAGCAGTAGTAAAACAAAGCCTTCAGGGTGGAAAACAGCCCTAAAGGGGAAGAGCCCTGCACCCCGCAAATAGCCCAGTGAGGTCTGAGTGTAGTGTGGCTGACGGCTGGGATTGGGAGAGTGAAATTTGGGAAGAAGAGGGATAGACTGGCTGGAATTCTGAACAGGAATTGTGCTGTCCTGCATCATTCTGTCGCAGGAGTCCCTCGATTATTTAAGACGCATGCAGCTGGAAATGTATCTGTTATGACAAACTCAGACATGCTGATGCAAGAGGAAGCACGCTGAGAAAGGGCGAATGTGGGAGTGTTGGCTGGAACAAGTAAAGGGAGATAAAATTTACCATGGTAGGGCAGGATTTGATCTCGCAGCTTCTTGATTAGCAGCTTTCATTTTTGTACAAGTGCGTCTCACAGCTTGGGAATAGGCCCCTTTCAGAGCATCTTGGCATTGCATGCCTCATCTACACTGTTAGGGCGTTGGGGAGTTTTCTGGTGAAGTGCTTCCACTCCGAGTACACATGGCTTGTTTCTTCCTCCTTTCCCAAGGCCTATACAGTTCGTGGCTTGTTTGGCAAAGCTACCGATGACTTCTCAGACAGAGGCAAGCTGATCGAGAAGACAACATTTGGTAAGTTGACTGTAATCTTGTGGCTTTCTGGGAGAGATGGCCATGATCGGCACCTGCTTACCCAGATGCGTAATCTGTCATGTCGACAAGAAGCTTACGGTTAGGACAGAATGTGGGAAAACCGAGTGGCTTCCTATAGGCAGAAGCATCAGACAAGGGTGCATTTTCTCTCCCTATCTGTTCAGTCTGTACACAGAACGTATCATAAATAGGTGCGTTTCTGGGGAAGGCCTTCCGTGAATGGGAGCACTGGGAAAAAAGCTTGTGTGGAGCTTTCTGGGCTTTGAATTCAGCCTGGAAATGGTTGATGCCATTCTGTTTGTGAAGGGGTGCCAGGTATCAGTCGAACTGCTGGGGATGAATAAGGCAGTCCTACTCTTCTGCACCAAGCAACATGAATCAGCCACAGTGGTTCTGCCCTTGCTCAGGGATTTGCAACTTTTTTATAGGATGCTTTTATACTGGGTCAGGCTGGGTCACGTAGTTTCTTGCTTTTAACGCCACCAATCCTCCTCCTCCTCCTGCCTGCAGAACACATCACAAGGGAGCAGCTGGAACGCATTCTGTCTGTTATCCAGGGATCCAACCAGAAGGCCTTACTGCAGTACGTATCTGATCCGAGGCGCTCCAGTGCGATCACGGGACGGACTTGGTCTGCAGAAGGGGTCCCGGTTCAGTTGTCACCAGCAGGGGCACAGACCGCCTTTCAGCCCGAGGGTCGTGCTCCGATTTTTCGGGGGCCGTGTGCCAGCGGTAGGCAGTGCTGAAGACTCGAGGGCCAGGAGCAAAAGCAGAAGGGGCAAGCCCCAAATTGCCAGCACTGTTTTAGTGGAGAGCTCTTCCTGTTGATAGCCAAGTCTTGCGAGAGGCATTTCAACCTCTTTGCATGGGGGGCAAAATGGCAGGGGGGTGCCAAACCGTAAGTGTTCAGGGGAGAGAAGGTGGGTCTGCTGCAGTGGTCAACTGTCCAGCCTCAGGCCTGCCTCAGACCAGCCCCTCTGCCCCACAGGCATCCTTGCTAACGAGGGCATGGCAGATAAGGCCTCATAAAAGTGATCATAAATACGTGAATGCACAATTAACGGCAGGCCACTGGCAGTGCAGACAAGCCTCCGAGCCAACGGTTGCATTTATACGCCGAAGGACCGCTTGAATAAGCTGGCCGTGGCTGCTGGCGGAAGATCAACAGGGAGTGAACTGGCCTCCCTCGGCAGGGACTTGCACAGCCGGGCAGAGGCCACGAGAAGGGCCTTCTTCTCACTGCCAGGAAGGCGGCCGTCTCTAAAGAAGGGCCCCTCCAGAAGCCCTTCGGAACTGGGCAGGCTGGTATGGGAAAACGTCTTTCCAGCCACTCTGCTCTCAAGTTAGATCGGTCTTTCTAGGTTGTCATCCGCACTTTTAATTCTGCCTGGAACGGGACCTGCGGCTGCTGGAGCAAGGGAGTCACGTGCTCCCTGTAACCAGCCTCAGCTGGCTGACACAGCTTGCGCACGTGTGTACCCCTGCACCCACAAAATCACGGGGACCACCCCACAAATGAGGAGGAGGAGGAGGGCAGGGGTGGGGGGGGAGCAGTCAGGCAGGACAGCTGCTGTCCTCCTCACCCCACCTCTCTCTCCTTCTCTCCCCCAGGCCACCGCCCTCCCCCTGCTTCCTTCCACCGCGTCGCCACCGGCCACCCAAAGAACACAAGGAACCTAACGGCTCCCAGCCCATCTGTTTCTCCAAGAGTCCGGCCAACCCCCGGCAATGGAATGTGAAGCGGTCCATGGGCAGCGACCACCAGCAGCCGCTGTGGCGGTCAATGCTGGTCAGCGTGCTGGTGGCCGTGTTCCTACTGTGGTGTGTGCTGAGGCCCGAGACAGAGATTGACCGGATTCTGGAGTCTACGATTCAGGAGGGGGCCCTGGCACAGGAAACTGCAGCTCCCCCACCTGGACAGGAGAAACCTTGACTGGAGGGCTGGGGGCAGGATCCCCTTACTCCTCTGATGAGGCCAAGCAAAACCAGGCACGATGCTGGATTCCCTCTGGGCTGGGAGAAGATGGGGGAATATTTTGTTTTTCAAAATGAACTGAGCTTAGTCGTGAATGTGTATCAACGCATGAAACAGGTTCTGTCCTGTGACAGAAACACATTTCTTTAAAAAAAAAAAAGTGGGAATGGAAAGAAGGAATTTGTCTGGAATATTGTATGGAGTAAAATCACCGTTGAAGCTCAGCAGTCCAGGCCTTGTCTGTTGCTATTGATCGAGGGCACAGATCTGGCTGCACGTCGCTCCACTGGGGTCCTACATAGCAAAATACTCCCGGGTCTGCTGCAGGACGTAGCACTGCAGGCCACACGGAATGGGCTGTCACACTGGGGCTGCACTTTTTCGTTACTGTTTTTAAATGGCACTTCCTAGCTTCCAGGACTGCCCAAATACTAATCACTCCCTGAGTGAGAGAGGTGGCCCTTCTTAGCACCGGCCAAAGGCCAAGTCACAAATTATGTTTGCTGGTCAGATATAAAATGAGGGAATCAATATTTTAAGATCTGGTGACCTTTTCCTCAAACACTATCCTCTTTCATGCATAATTCTTCCAGGCTTGGCCTGGCTGTGAGGACACTGGAAGCATCCGTGGGCAATTCTAAATTAACCATCATTCCTTTCATTTCTGTACTATGCAGTAACTGAGGCTCTCTAGGCAGTTCACAGAATTATACATCGCAGTGCAAGAAATGAAAATATAAAATCTTAACCTACAAAATTTAAAACAGTGTTCACAGCTAATATGCCAAGAGCCAGTTAAGAGTGTGGGATGGGGACTCAGGCAATCTGGATTCTAGTCCCCACTCAGCCATGGAGCTCCCTGGGCCAGAGACAGACTCTCGGCCCAACCTACCCCACAGGGTTGTTGTGAGGATACGATGGAGAGGAGGAGGAGACATAGATAAGCCATCTTGAAATCCTCGGAAGTTAAAAGGCAGGATATAAAAACAGCTAAAACGTTAAGATACTGGAACTGATAGAAAACATTGACAGAGAGGACCCACTGCATGCCATCAACTGCCTGGGAGTCAGTCTTAACATGGTGTGGAAGAGATGGCAGGTGGACCTCGGTGAGAAGAGTTCAGTCATCCGGGGTGGGGGGCAGACAGTAAATTTGTTTCCACCTTCCACACCTCCCTCAGAGGAAAGCCTCTGATGTTGATCTTAGCAGCCAGGTAGGCTTCATGTCAGGAGAGACATGGTGGGTATTTTTGTCCCAAGCAATGCAAGGTTCTATAGTGAAGACCAGTGCTTTGAATCGGGCTTGGAAAAGCATGCAGAGCTGCAGGCTTGGACAGTTCTCTGTCTGGCTGCCACGTATTGCTTGAGCTGCAGCTTGGGAACAGGCTCCAGACTTCCTTGCTATGCCTCAGCTTGTGCAGCTCTGCTCTGCTTAGCTTAAATGTTAGGTCAAACTTGCCCTCCAAGCGTGGACACAGGAAGCCAACTTTCGGAATAAACATCTGCTCAGGCAGACAAAATGTAATGTATGAACCATTCAGAAACGAGCCTTGCAGATCCAGTTCAGGAAAGTTCTAATTGCCATCTCTGCCCTCACCCTCTTCCAGACATGCTAACATTGATTTGAAAACTCAAGAGGCTTATGAGCTGGCTGTGAAAGGATTAATCCGCCCCATGGAGAAAAGTCCGCCCCTGATCACAGCAGTGCGATGCCTCCAGTTTGCACCACCAGAATTCCAGCTGGGTATGACTAGGCCTGTGCCTGTTCTCCGCATTATTTTTAAAAGAACATCATGGACCAAACCACCCCTCCCCCTCCCCCTCCCCCCTGCTCAGTGCAGGATTCCCAGTTAAACCATTCCTCAGTTATATCTTGAGCGCAAGGCTGTCGAAGGGAATACAGCCACGAAGTGGAGCAAATGTTTTGCATGCATCGTATTTCAACCTCTGACATGTTCAGGAGGGCTTTTTAATTTAAAGAGGGATTGGGTGGGTGGTGATGGGGAAAACCTTTATGTGAGAATTTGGGAAGCTGTTGCCAGTCAGAGGCCTGCGTTTAATCTGGTATAAAAGGCGTCTCTCTAGATTCTTAACAGCTCAGAGACCGGAATGGATTGAGTGGGGGCTCCCAGGAGCAACTGAGCTGGAATGGCATGCTGTCTGCCAGCATGGAATTGGGGAAGCTGGTGCACCGGGCAGCATCAGACAAACTGAGGAAGACTCAGGTCCAAATCCCTCCTTAACTGTTAAGTTCACTGTGGCCATTCTCTTCGGCCCGACCTGTCCTCCCATTGTGACAGCCATTGGCTGTGTTAGCGGGGGGGGGGGGGCGAGAGGAGTTGTAATCCAACATACCTGGAGGGTGACTTGTTTCCCTTCTGCGGATAGTCCTTCGTTTTATAGATCATCGATTTCAGAATTCTGTGTGCAGCAGATGCTTTCTTCCATCCCATGCCACCCAATGTGGTGATTTCTGTCTCCCCCAGAAATTCACTGTTTGCACGAGACCCAACAGTATCTGCGAAAAATAGTTCACGAGATCGGGTTGGAACTGAAGTCTTCTGCGGTGTGCACACAAGTGAGGAGGATACGGGATGGTGTTTTTGTGCTGGATGATGCCCTCTTGAGAACGGAGTGGGACCTGGACAACATCCGGAAGGCGATCCTGAAGTCCAAACGTAAAGTAGAGGCTGAGCTCCAGAACAGTCTGGCTCACCAAGAAGCCGGAAATGACTGTGGGGGAAAGACTGTGCCTGGAACAACTGCTGGTGACACGGAGCGCAGCAGAGAGGAAGGTACCATACAATCTGGTACCTTTTAGAAAGTGGCCAAGCACAGGGGAGGAAGGTACCCTGGACTGATTTGTTCCGTCTCGAGTGCTAACATAGCTTTTCAAAAGCCGATTTCACACTTGGGGAATCCCCTTTCCTTTTTTTTTTTGTTTTTTTGGTCTTTTTTTTTTTGTTTTGTTTTTCAGGGAGAGTCATAGACCCTGCTAATTTCTAGGCATCTTTGTTGTTAAATCTTGACATTTTAACTAAATGTGTCTGTCAGCTTTATAAAAGTGACAACCTGGTTGTTATACAGGTATGTTTCAAAACCCCATCCCCTCTATTCCTGTCAAAATATGCTGTTTGGATTATTCCTAGCACCAAGACAAAACTTCTGAAATTCACCTTATTTCAAGTTAGTAATGTCAAGTCTAGAGGGTGGATTTGTGGAATGCTTGTGTCTCTGAGGGAGGGAGGCAGGATAGGAATGAGTTAATTCTGATAGTATACAAAGCCACAAGAATGTAACTCTGTGCTGGTGTGTTCTTTTAATAAATAAATCATGTGAACCAGACTTAGAATCCATCGCTTAATGTAGGCTTGCATTAACTGTCGTTTAACGTGGTACTTGACACGACTGGGTTTTTTTTCATCTGCAGAAGCAGGGACACCACCAAGTAAAGCTAAGCCATGGCTTCCACGTTCTGGACAGAACTGGAGCGACATCTGGCTTTTGCTCATTCAGCGACACCGTTAATACATTCAGCCATTGTGGGATCTCCACCTGTTATCATGCAGCAGCACAAGTGCAATTGCTGCCCAAGTGGGTTGAACTGGCAGTGGGGGGAAGAGCCCGCATGATGTACAGTGGGGCAGTCAGCAGAAGGGAGCGCTGAGGATTCAACAATATACGAGCGCTGAACCTGGAGTGCGGCCATAATTTTGGGAATAACACTGGCTATGTGGAGACAATGCATACGTACTGCAGTCCCATGCAGCTCGAGAACCTGAGGTATTACAGACTGAAAGCTGCCATTCTGTATAGCCTCTAAACCGCCTGCACTGGCGATCTGGGCGGTCACAAGGACAGCGCTGGGGCTGTACGCCTTGTAGGGGTGAAAAGCCACTTGTCCAACGGCAAAGCCAAATTCTGCCCGCCCTCGATGCGTGTGCAAGACAGCCGAGGTGGCGCACGTGGGACAATTGAATAGAACATGATTACACAGACTTGATCCCAATTGCGTCTTGAAGGCCCACGCTCAACAACAGTGCAGAGCAATGCTTCTAACAGCCATTTCCAAGCAAAGGAAGTGCTGTCTGTTTTTGTTTTGAGCATCCTCTCACCCGCACGCTACATGTGTAATTTTCACAAACGGTTTAGGGTACATGCTCAGACAGGAAAATACCCACAATTTCCAACTTGGCTGACTGGGGTACATTGGGAATTGCAGGACCTTTTTCGAAGTGTGCTTAGGATTGTTCCTGCAGTCTCCTAACAAGTTTCCTTCTCTTTTGTGTGCCTTGCCCACCGATTTGTTTGAGTTTCCTGGTCATAGCTGCCTGCTGCTGTTTCAGCCACTTGAAAAAGCAGTCCTTTCGATGGACTTTAAAAGGAGAGTGGATGGACACAGTTGAATTAGGATTACTTAAGAACACCCACCTCAAAGTCATCCTTTTTGTGGAAATAAACAGAACGGGTTGCTCAGCTTGCAAACAGAAACAAAACTGCAGCTGCTTCCTTTTAGTCCTCCCGGTGGACCTCACAAAATACATTCAGACTTGATGCTGCCTCCTGCAGTTCGGTAGAAATTCATACATTGAACATGTGTACAGAAAACGGCCTTTCTCCTTGAACACGTAGAACAAATTCAACAGTTTTTCTGTCAAATCCATGGAGGAAAGTGTTAAACCCTTGTTCCTTTAGTATTACTTGGAAAATCCAAATTAGCAGTAGCGAACTGCTCATCATTCGGGGTGCGAACTTTGATCAGCTAGGAGCTGCCATGTCTCACATTCCCTCTAGTCATTAAGATCAAGGTCAAATTCAGGGTATAGCTCCTTTGTGGTGACTCCTCTGATCAGCGCTAGAAGAGAGAAACAGAAATGAGAAAGATAACTTAATCTCAGCTTGCTTTCACAACTTTTCCACAACTCTTTCTCGTACATCTTTGATATTTTCTGTATCAAATAGTCTAGCTGGAAGATCAATGACTTCCTACCCTAGTTATATCACTTCTGTCTCACTTTCCACACAACTCACCTTCAATAATTCCTGTCAGAGCAAGAACTGGGACTTGGGCTATGTTTGCCCCGCAGGACTGAAACAAAATGCCCTATGAAGTGAAGCCCCCCAAGCCTTCCCTCCAAAGGAAAACAGAGAGAAAGTCGTACCCATCTGGCCTAAAAGCATTTGTCCAATGTCTTTCATCTCATTGTATTCATGGAGCAGAGCGATGTGGCCGTCTAATTCCTCCACGTTATATCCCCTGTAATAACAAATTTAGAAAGATCATAGCAGCACAGAGCCGTTTCGTGAAGCCAGATGGGGTATTGGGTTGTCCTTAATGAAAAGACTGTACTTGAGGCAGAATCTGATCAGCAACATAACATGCTGCTCCCCAGCTGTTCACAATTCCTCTGCCCAACATTGCCTAAGTCACAAATTTCCCTGTTGAGGAAGCACTGGCTCCTATTATTACTATTAATTACATTTCTATACTGCCTAATAACTGAAGCTATCTGGGCTGTTCACAGTGGCAGGTAAAATAGAACACAGCATACAAATAGCAAATCATAAAATATACAAAAACAAATTTAAAAGCTAAATTTAAAACCAAAGTTCAAAAAGTTACACTAGCTTACATAAATTAAGTCAGAAGACCTGTTAAACAGTTGACGTAATATCCCAATATAATATAAAGCTGATTAAATGCCCTGTCACAGAGGACAAGCTTAACCTGGGGCTTAAAAGTTGGTGCCTGGCAGAGCTTGGTTCAAAAGTGGGGGGCTGTCACTAGGAAGGCCCTTCTTGTTGCCACAAACTGAACCTCCTTGGAGGTGGCGATCAGAGGCAGGCCCTGAATCTTGATTGTAATGTACAGGCTGGGAGGGGCATTCCATTAGGTCATGTGGTCCCGGTAGTGTAGGGCTTTATAGGTAAAAACCAGCATCCTGAACCGGGCTTGGAAGCATGCAAGCAGCCAACGCAAGTGGGCCAGAACTAGTGTTATGAGTTTGGCCCTTCTGGTCCCAGTTATTATTCTGCCTGCCTCATTCTGCACAAGGTGCAGCTTCAAAAGGGTCTTCAAGGGCAGCCCCACATAGAATCCATTGCAGTAATCTAGTTTAAGAGATTACCAGAGCAAAGATTATGCAAACCAGGCTATCCCTATTTAGATGGGGGTGCTGCTGGGCCACCAGCTAAATCCAGAAGGCACTCAATGCCACAAGGTCCACTTTATGTGACAAAAATGACTCAAAGATGACTCAAATGACCCAAGCTACAAACCTGCTCCTTCAAGGGAAGTGTGACTCCATCCGGAACAGGTTAAATTACTTCCAGCTGGGCAGAAGAACGACCCACCAGCCTGACCAGATCGGACGGCAAATTGTCCAGATACTGGGGCAATTTTAAATATTAAGCAGTACACCAAACATGGTCAGATACGTACTCTGCCAGTAACTGGGCTATTTCTTGATCCAGAGCGATATTCTTGTGTTTCAGCTCTTCAATTTCATGCTGCAGGGTCTCCTTATTGGTATCTTGACAGGCCCCCCGAGGCAGAACCTGTTGAGCAGAGACAGTGACGCTTCACAGGCTAAGGGAAGGATCCCCCCACTCCCCACCCATCTAATGCACTTCAGGAGCATAACTGGCCACTAATGGGGCAGGAGAGAGGGAGCATGCACATCAATGTGCAGAACCACAGGGTCGAAATCCAGATCACTCAGTTCCACGTGTTTCTATAGCTTTTGCCAAGAAAAAACAGAAATCCTACGCTGAAAGGGCTGCACGAGTTCAGTCTCCCTAGTTCTGTCAGAGGCATCATGTGTCTGGTAGTGACAAAATCCTAAGATTCCTAGCTTTCATTTCATCAAAAATAAGTGCTGGCTGGTTTCAAGTCTGCTCATTTGCAGAAAAGCTTTAGAGCATCTTAAAATGAGAAACACTTAAATTAACTCTATCTGCCCCCACAAAAAAAAGATCATCAACACTCACTGAGTACATTCACAAGTTTGACTTGTTCTAGAAGAACTAGCTTAAAGCAAGAAACTCAGCAATGTTAGTTTACATTTAGTTTTATTTATTATTTTATTTATTATTTAGGGGACTTCTATGCTGCCCCATTCGCCGAAGCCTCGGGGCGGCTCACAACCATAAATAAATAGAATCCAATAAAACAATATAAATTAACAATATAAATTAAGTCTCCCTGGCCAAAGAATAAAATAAATAAATAATATTAACAATTAAAATAACATTTGAATAAAAAGGTCTTCGCCTGGCGCCGAAAAACAAATAATGACGGCGCCAGGCGGACCTCTCTGGGGAGCGCATTCCATAGATTGGGCGCCACGGCAGAGAAAGTCCTCCTCCGAGTATTTACCCTCCTAATTTCCTTCACGGAGGGTTCCCGAAGAAGGGCCTCTCCCGCTGATCTCAAGGGGTGGGCGGGTATATATGGACCCGTTAATTGTAACCCATTAACCCGTTAATTGTAACTTTAGAATATAATCTAATTTTAAGAACATAAAGCAGACACTTACAGGGGACTTGAATCGTGCATTGCAACTCTTCTGGGTTCCAGTGGGTGTCCTTGGTTTAAAAGAAGAGGAAAAAAACAATCATTTAAGAATTCCTCAAGCGTCAGCATAAATAAAATATTCAGGGCAGCTGTTTGGACAGTATCTGTGCATATTAGAGATGAAACAGACATGGCACTTTCAGTCTGGGATTGGATGTCGCAGAATTTCTGCTTTTTAAAAGTACATTAATGCAGCTATGAAGAATTAACTAGAGCAGCAGCTCTTCCCTACTGCAAATTTTCCAGATCTTTATGCCCAATTTCAGTTGGGTTGGTGTTGCAGAAATTCATACCTCAGCCAGAAAAAAAGGCATGATGGAAGAACCTGTGAGGGGTTGCTTCAGAGCCAAAAGTTATCTCCCGTTCAAGTCATGCATGCTATTAAAAAAAAAAATCAAACGCTGAAGTCTGTTTAAGATCAGCTTACAAATCTCCCCTATCTTATTGAAATCTGTGTGCACAAGAAGGTGGCCCCAGTATATTTTGCCAGCCCCGGCCACCTAATTTCACCTAATTTTGCCGAGTGTTGAAAATCTAGGTTTCCCCAGATGTTGAGCACTGGCTGAATGACTTCACAGGTTAGGCACTGAAGGAAAATGTGACTTAAAATGTGGCTTCCTAACCACATGTGGCTCCCCTGGGAGGATGTGACCCAGTCCACGCGGTGGTACCTTCTCAGGAAGGGCTTAGGTGACGGTCGTCCAGTTGCTCCAGGGCTCTGCTCCCATCCCGATGCGTGCTCCAGTTTATCCAGCGCGCCTTGCAAGTTGGAGGCAGAGCAGCTGCCCGTCTCACCCGCTTCCTTTCCCTTTTGCATGCTGGGATTTGTAGTTGAAGAAGCGGAGTTTTCACTACCTTCTCTCCCCCAGTGCATTTTGGGACACGCAGGCGATCAAGCCATAAGCGCATTGCCTGCTGGGGCTTGTAGTTCTCTGCTTGATACTTTTCCAAAGTTTGGGGATTGCTGCTTCCCCTCCACAAAAGCTGTGAAAGAATAAGATGAGGAGTTCATGCAAGTGATTTAGGATTCAAAAGACCAGACTGGGAGGGGAGTTTGTGTGGCTTTTTTAAAATACAATGGGCAGACTGTGCTTCAAAACAGGAACGATCAGAAAAATAAAGCTCATAGCAAACACGAACCTCTAATGCAGAAGTCCATCACAGCAAGATTTCTAATACATTCCATGAGAAGAGTATTTTTTGCTTAAAAACATCACTTTGACCCATTACTTCTAGGTTTGAGGTTCCCAGACACGTAAAGGCGGAATCCTAGAATCAGAGATTTGGAAGTGGACTTGAGGGTCATCCAGTCCACCCTGCTGCTCACGGCAAGGCGTTCAATGAAACTTGCACCGTCCAGAAGTCCGTCAAGATTCAGCATGGCCAGGCACCTGCTGAGAAACCACACTCCTATCGGGGGCCCACAAGCCAGAGGCCTCTGGATCCAACTTCTGCTCAAATGCAACCAGCAAAAAGAAAAATTAGCCTCTTCCAAGGCAGGCAGCTCCCTTGCTGTGCAGCTCATTCCACTAGGAAATGTCCTCTAATGTTTAGCGGAAAGCTGCTTTGGCAGTTTCTGCCTATTGGTTCTAATCCTGCTCTCCAGGGCAAAAGGGAAGACGTTTGCTCCGTTTTCTGGGTAGCAGCCCTTCAGATATTTAAGGACCGCTCTCATGTCTCCCCTTAATTCTTTCCTTCTCCCGGCTAAACATTCCCAGATCTTCTAACTCTGCTTCCAAGGATGCAGTGTTGCAATCCATCCTTTAGGCCTCTGGGCTCTCCCATGAAAAACACAAAATGCCATCTGATATTAACCTTTCTGGGAGTAAAACCCATTGAATTCAATGCAGTGTAATTCAGTGTAGGATATAGCATTGCTGTGTTAATCAGCTTGTAATGTTTTGTTGTTTGTACGCCTAATACACATCTGCTTCCAGCATTATAATTGGCTTTCAGGCTTAGGGCTCCTAGCGCTACTAATCTGAAGACATTTTGTAGCTTTTCTCTGTTTGCATTTGCTGTTCTTGTAGCTGTATCACACAGCTGACTCACAGTTTGTGATCAACTACAACCCTGGGATCCTGTCTCCTAAATGGTTGGTTTATGGATGTCCGGTGGCATGAGGTATTCTATCCTGAAGTTCCTGCCAGTCCCTTTAATTGGAAGAACCAATGTTTTTATGTCACAGAAGAGAGTGAAAAGCTTCCTCTACTTTCTTCAAATGCACAGTTGTCCCATGGTGCACTGGCGCTTTGTCCAGCTTACTCCAAATCTGCAAAAGCACTTTGGGTGATTCTCGCTTTTTCCAGAGGGCCAAACTAGGGACAGTCATTGAAAACTGTCCATCTGTCAGGATTGCAAACCACACAGCAGTGCCCTTGCTGAGCAAGGGTCAGGATTAACGATCTTTGCAGTCCTTCCGACTCTCAGATTCTGTGATCAGTAGCAAACATCAAACTTCTTCTAAGAGTTGCACAGTGGATCCGAGGTCCCTGCAGCTGCTGTTTTTCAACCTTGTGGAACTGCAACTAAAGGAAAAGTGTGCTGCTTCCTGCCCATCCCGTATCACTCCCAAATTACATATGCGGTGTGCAAAACTTCTTACATACTGACTCACAGGGAAGGGCTTGTTGTACCTGAAATACCAGCTGATGTTTTAGGTGCCTGGTGAATGCCCCACTGTAACTCACACTCATTGAGAAATCTGCAGCGCTCAGTAAATGTGTGACAAAAGTGGTGTTTCTTTGTCATTTATTATAGGGAGTTATTTTTTAATCCTTCCCAGGACAGCTTGTGGTCCTAGTGAATAGCAGTATTCCATATTTATTGGAATGAATAATTATCTCCAATTCTCCACAATCTGCTGCAAGTAAGGCATGAAAACTGACTACATTTCAAAGCCCTCCTTAAAAATTATCAGCTTTGAGTGTGCACGCCAGCCAGCATGGTTGACTGGGGAACACTGGGATCGCAGACTTTTTTCTGTCTAAACACACTACGGCTGGGCCCTGAAACAGCTCCCCGACTTGCGTGCACTATCTGACCCGTACACTGGCAAGCACACCCGCAGGCCAGGCAGGAAGTGTGGGCTTCCGTTCCCCGTGGCACACGGCCAGAGGAGCCGCGGCGTCCCCCTCGCCCCCACAGCGCTCCAGGCATGCTTGGTCGCGTGTGCAGCGGGCCTCGAGCCGTACCTCTGGTCCTTGACCGTGTGAACAAGGCGCCCCGGGGCGGAACGAGGCTCCCGGCCGCGGAGGCGACACGCGCGAGGCCGCACACAAATGGCGGGAAGCGCTCGGCGCACGCGCGCTGGGGCCGTCCCGGCCGCGCATGCGTGCGCTCGGGCCGTCCCAGCCGCGCCTGCGCGCTGCGGCCTCGCCGCCCAGGCAGGCAGGCAGGCAGGCAGGCCGGCGACGGGCGGAGCCTCCGCTGCCCTCGCGCCGTCGCTCCCCTCCCACCCCCGCCCCGCACCGGGCTGACGTGGCCCGGGCCCGGCGCGGACATGGCGGACGGCAGCAGGCAGAGCAAGCTGGCGGCGGCCAAGAAGAAGGTGAGGGATCGGCGCGGCGCCGGCGGCCCTCCTCCCGGCCCGGCCCGGCCTGGCCCGGCCCGGCCCGGCCCGGCCGCCCCCGGGGCCTGCTGGGCTCGGGCCCGGGCACGCCCCCGGCGGCCCCCGCAGGCCCGATCCGCGCCTCCCTCCGTGCCGCGGGCCCGGGGAAAGCAGCCTCCTTCCCTGTGGGCCGGCCCGGAGGAAGCGCCTGCGGGGGACCCTTCCCCGGAACCGCCGCCCCTCGGGAGCGGCCCTCCTGGCCGGGGACATCGCGCGGCCGGGCACAGCCGCTGCCCCGGAGCCCTTGGGTGCCCTCCCGGGAGGCCTGCAAGAGGCCCCTCGTCGCCCGCGCCCCGCAGGTTTGGGAAAGGTGTGCAGCGATCCCTCTCTGCGCGGAGCGTCTCCAGAGCACCCCTTGGAGGCACGGGGGGGGGGGGCGAGGGCCGTCCCCCCTTGAGAGACCCCTTGCGGCGCCCCCTCCATAGGCCGAGCGCGGGGACGGCCTCTTGGTACTGATCCCAGACTTTAGGGCACCCCTTCGAATGCCTGGAAGAAGGGCCTTCCCGTATTCGCTTAGTGTCGGTTGGAGAGATGCGCGCCCCCCCCCCATTATTCTGTACCTTGCATGCATCACTTTGCAAGCATGGAAAGGGGACTCCAGCATGCATTTAAACCTCGGATTAAATATCTGAAAAGGGAAGCCGGGAAGAGCATCTCTGCCTCTCTGCGTGCCTCGTTTAATCTTACTGGACATCCACTGCCTGTCTGGAAAGGTATTCCTCTTTTGGGAAGAGGGGGTGGGCTCTTGCGAACGATCCTAGACAGACTTTGAATATACGAAAGGGGAACCCTCCCTGTGTAGCTTTTGCGAGAGAGGGCGTTTTATCAGTCCTCCTTCATCCTCCTTCTATATACATTGAGAGGCAGTGTGGCGTAGTGGTTAAGGGCATGGAACTGGGACTCAGGCGTTCCGGGTTCTGGTCCCCGCTCAGCGATGGAGCCAACCGGGTGACTTTGGGCCAGGCACAGACTCTCAGCCCAACCCACCTCACAGGGTTGTTGTTGTGGGGATAAGACAGAGGAGGAGAATGATGTAAGCTGCCTTGAGCCCTTTGTAGGAAAAAAGCGGGACATAAATCGAAAAACAAATAAATAAAATACATATTTTCCCATTAAATGCTTGAAAGAGGATTAATGGCATGCTGCGTTAACTGATGTGAAGACTGCACACCTTCTAAGCACCTTAAACACGTTCCTTGAATGCCTGGTTGGGGATTCCCCCCACCCCCCCCGAATATAGAGGTGGGTTGCGTGAGGAGTACTTTTTCCTTGCTAAGCAACACCTTAGCTATGCTTTCTCAGTGCCTCAGAGCAAACGTGTCCTGTAGAAGAATAGCTGGGACAAGGGAGGTCTGCCGAATTGTTACACAGCTTAAGCTCAAGAAAAATGTAATTGGGATATCAATATTGCACTCTATATTATGAAATATTACAATATTGCACTCTGTATTATGAAATATTACAATATTGCACTCTGTATTATGAAATATTATTGTAACGCTTGAGCCGAGAAGAAAACGCTAGTTGCATTTTAATAAAGGGACAAAAATACTCTTTACTTTTGCCTCTTGTCCTCCAGAATGTGCCCTTTAGATGTCTTTGAGAACTGTTGCAGGCTATTTCTATAATAGCTAGGAAGCCATTACAATCCATGTCAAAATTCCTGTCCACCTTGTGTTGTTTGCGCTGAGAATTCCTAGGCAGCACATACTTTTTGCAAGTATGCTTGCTTTCTACTCTTTAAACATTACAATACCACATGGACATGTACTCACAAGGTAGCCAAGGATCCAGAAAAGTTCCCTTAGTTTCGCACGTGGCTTCTGTCCGTGGTTGGAGGGGTAGGCAGCTGTATATTGAGCCCTGTAAGGAGCACCGATCCTTAGTGCACCTCAGATACAGCCGTGCCATGAAGTGGGAGAAGCTGCTGTCTCAGGCGGGGAATTTAGTTGCAGAGCAAATGGCAGTGAATTCTGGGCAAAGCTCCGGCATTTTGGGTAAAATCCACACCCCCGTCTGGCGTGAACTGGTTCTCTGGTGGTTAGGGCGGCAGTGGTGATGGCTTCACACTAGATGCCAGCACTGCACATGCCTTCAGGGATCATCACATGATCTGGGATGCATGGTGAACCCTCCTGCCACAGGCAGCTTTGGTCAGTGGGCCACTGCAAAATTGGGGTGGCGGGCGGCACATTTAGGGCCTTGCGAATTTCCTGGCCTGGACGCCCGGCGGGTGGAGGAGTTGTTCAACATGTGCCATGTACGGAGAGCCAGTTGAGAGTGCACGGCAGCGACAGTTGCCACTGAATTCTGTGCCAGACCCCCAGAAGGCTGCGCATCACGAGTTGCTTCACTGCGCTGTCGGTTGCCTTCTTTCTTCCGCTTAGTAGGAGCTTGGACATACTTCGCCTTCCTTCTCAAAAGGCCAGGACCATTTTTTGTGCATGGGGTTGAGAAAAAGGGAGTGGATGACTCCCGTCACCATTTCTTCGATGTCCCTGCCACCTTGTGGGAAGCTTTTTGGAAAATAATCTCCCAGGTTTTTCCCTGGAGGAGAAGCCGGAGCCTGTTCCCTCCCATTATACAAGCACTAAAGGATTCAGGGCCTTTCTGTGGGTTAAACTTGATATATAGGTCTACCATTAACACAACAAAGGGTTTAGTGGCACGTGAAGCCGAATAAATTTATTCTGGCATAAGGTTTTGAGGATACTGTTAACTTACCAGATGCCTGAACGATTAGCCTCAGATTGGAAGATCTGTAGACCAGTGTTGGTACCCCTTTGGCATCAGTGCTCGGCTGCTTGAGATAGTGGGTAATTTAACAATGTTTTTACACCACATTTCCTTTTAAAATCTCCAGAATAGTTCCAAGTCCATAAGCATGATGCACATGCATATATTCCATTCTGAATCAGATTATTGGGACTTTACTCATTTGGCTCTGTAGGTTCGGTAAGGGAAGCCTTTTAAGTTTGATAGTGTTGATATCTTAGGCCCCGATATATTTCAGTGTCTTTGGTTCTGTGCAAAAAAAAAAAAAAGGTGACATGTTCTAAACTTAGAAGGCTCTGTGGAAGGCATTTGATCCAACTGCACAGCAAGTGACCCAGTAAGCTGTATGCAGGCCGGGCAGCCACACACTGTGGCCTGCCTCATTTTTGACTGCCCGACTCCGTTTCTGTGCTCTAGGACAGACAACAGACCTTAGAGGTTTCTCTAAGGTCCTTGATGGGTTGTCATTCGTAAGCAGGTGTGTTGCGTTCGTTTTTTGTTGGTAATGACCTGGCCAGGTCTGCTTCAGCGCTTGCATTCAGCAGGGGAGCAAGGTGTGGTAGAAGGCCCAGCTCTTTACCTTGTGTTCAGGAAAGGCTTAGCTGAGAAAGCAATTTTTCTGAGCGCAATTTCAAAGAGTGGCTGACGTAAGGATAAAAGAATAAGCTTTGGTCTTTAAGAATTCCCTCTGTTCTGTCAAATATCTCTGGCATGGACTTGTGGCTAGACCTCACCCTTATTTGTGGGCTTGTTTGAGCAAGTAATCATCTCTGTTGCTGATGTTTGAAATCAGATGAATGGTGATCCTTCGCAGAATGCAAAGAGATGAGCATTAGGATGGTCAGTTAGTCTTAATATTGAATAATAGTCTCATGTTTTCAACAGCTCATAGTATAGCAAAAAATGTTGAGGAAACATTTGTTGAAATTATAAGTAACCAGGATAAAGCCCTGTCAAATGTACATCAGTCATCCACTCAACAAAGACTTCTGAGAGCTTCCTGTAAAACCAGCCAGATTATTTTCTGACATGTAAACTCTTTGTAATAAAGATGATTGGAACTGGGCTGGAATACGTCTAGATTGCTAGGTTCTGTTATAGATATATCTAGAAAAATCCCAGGTGCCTAAGTGCTTAGGCAGCTAGCAATCTGAAATATTTTTCTCCCAAATCTCATTGTAAAGGAAGTCCACAAGCAGAATTAGGGGAAAAAATACTTCAAATTGTGATTTGTCTGGGCAGTTAGGTGCCTGGGTTTTCCTACAGACTTCTTGGATGCTTGTTGTTGTCATATGCCGTCACATCATCTCTGATCTATGGCGACGCCATGAATGGAAGCCCTCCAAAATGCTCTGTCCACAACATCCCTGCTTAGCTGATCTAAATTCCAGGCTGGATCAGTGGCTTCCTTTATGGAGTCAGTCCATTTCCTGTTCTTCCTTTTTTTTCTTCTGCCTTCAACTTCCCCTAGCATGATTATCTTCTCCGGTAAGTCTGACCTTCTCATGATAGTATGGCATCCTCAGTTTCGTCTTTTTTGCTTATAGGGTACGTTCTGGCTTGATTTGATCTGGGACCTGTTTGTTTGTCTTTCTTTTGGTTCCAGGTATCCACAAAGCTCTCTTCCAGCAGCATGTTTCAAATAAATGAATAAATCAGTCTATTAAATCGTTTCAAATAAATCAGTTGAATTAATCAGTGTTCTTCCTGTCAGCTTTCTTCATTGTCCAGCTTTCACACCCATATGTAGTGATTGAGAATCCAGTGGTGTGAATGATCTTGGCTTCGGTCACCAGTGAAACATCCTTCTATTTGATGATCTTTTCTAGTTCTTTCATTGCTGCCCTTACAAGCCTCAGTCCTCTTCAGATTTCTTGGCTGCAGTATCCCTTTGAATTGATGACTGTGCCAAGGTATACAAAATCTTTCACAATTTCAGTTTCTTCATTGTTGACATTACAGTTCTGTAATTCCTTGTATGCTTAAATGATAGAAAGCTATTCTTTTTCTAAATTTCACCTTTCCTGGCTTATGCTCCTCAGATACTTATATCTATGTAAGTATCTGATCCAAATCACTAATTTTTGTTTAAGTGTGTCATATGGTAGTGATGTTACACATTGTTGTTAGTCTCAGAAGTTGCAAGAAGCCTTCCAAAGGTCTCTGCTTGATCACTCTGTATTCTCTGGAAAGTCTGTGTATACTCTTGCATTTTTCCCCGGCTGCTTTTGCTACTGTTGAGATGCAACAGTAAATAGTACTTGTGCAAGTTTTACTGGATCAGCGAAATGGAACCTTAAAATTTCCGCTCTTGTAGCTGTGCCTCCCGTAGCACAAGGGCTACCCTCTGAAGGGATTTTCACGTTGCAGTTACCATTTTTTAGCTAGTAATCTGAAAAAATACACATGCATGTGTTTTCTATTCCAGCTCTTCATATATTGGCTCTTCATTTCAGACCTTATGGATTTATTTATTCAATTTATACCCTGCCTCTTTTCTTACAAGAAAGCAGCTCAGAATTCAAAGATATAGCAGATTTACTTAGTTAGGCTTCACATTTTTCTTCCTTTTCTTAGCTGAAAGAATATCAACAGAAGAATAGCCCTGGGCCAGCAGCTGGAGCCAAGAAGAAGCGAAAAGGTAAAGAAGGAAGTAGGCCAGAGACACCAACTAATGATGACACAGAATCTCCTGAAAATGTGAGTGGTTTACTTAGTATTTTATATGCTCCAGAATATTCTAACTCTGCTTGAAAATAGTTTTAACCTTGTAAGAACTTGAACAAGGCTGTGCTTCCCTTTTTGGCATTGGTAGAACAGAGAAGGTCAGCTAATTCGATAGAAATAAACATTTTGTTCTACAGCTGTATTCTGGGAGTATTTAATAGGGACGATTTGAATATGCCTTTGGAGTGAAGGCGGTGCATCCTTGCATATAAATGGATTATATGCAAGCGAGTTCCACTGACCTCGCCGGCACGTTGATCCTGGTGGTGTTTGGATCTCCGCAAATGTCCTTTTCTCTACCTTTGGCTTCAGGAACCCATTAATCAATGTTCTCATTCTCTCCCTTTTCTCAGCTGTTTCTCTTTCCCTTTTTCTTTCACCCTGTTTAGATTCAGAACATTCTGAAGGTGCTGGTGTCAGACCTTAACCGCTCCAATGGGGTAGCCATACCTTCATTGGACAAGAGGAAGGTGAGGCAGCATTCAGACCCTGTCCAACTGGCTTGCTGTCTATACTGCATGCTTCTGAGCCTGTTTCAAAATTAGGATTTCTCATGGGCGCGGGTGGATGGATACCTTATTTTTGTTTTCAGCTGTGTGGTTGTTGTGGCAGTCATTAACGCCGAGCTATTTTTAATGTGACTTTCCCTCCTCCCCCTGTTACTCTTGTGTGTGTTTCCCTGAACTCGGTTCAGATTACAAGCCTGAGGAAGGGCAGCTCCTTGTACTTCCCAGATAGCTTTCCAGGGGCAGCTGCTTCAGTATAATGTGAGGCATTTGTGAAGGGATTGGCTGGAGAGACCTTTCCCAACTTCCTGCGCTTACGCTGTGATGGAAACATAAGTGGTATTGTTCACTGTGCCACTTATGAGCTTGACTTCTCCTTTGCTCGCGATCTTCTCTTCTCCTTGTCCGTGCAATATTTAGAAGCATCTCCCCTCAGGAGAACATGTTCTTGCTCATCTCTAATCAAATTGTTGGCCTGGCGGTTGAGCTGTGTGGTTATTTGTGCCAACTCATGTTGTGACAGGCAAGGAGACCTGTGCTTGCAAAAGACTGGGAAGTAATTTCAGTATGCTTAGGCAGGCTTCCTTCCCTATCAAGGAAGCCCAGCCTATATGTATATTAGGAAAAGCAACCTCTCCTTCTGACGGATTCCACTGGCCCAAGCTGTATTTTACTAATAATGGTTCCGACACGAACAATTTGCTTGAGCTGACTTCAGCTTTCTTTAAAGAAAAGTTCCTTAAGTTTTAGGAATAGATTCATACAAGTAATTTTTTCTTGAAGACGGCCATATGTATCAGAACTTGTTGGGAATGAAGTTGTTCTGTTATGAGTTGTTATTTATTGTGCTTTTATGATGTCCTTAAGGCTCCCAAAGCAACCTGCAAAGATAAAAAGTAACGTAGATAAACACTGGGAAATAAAGCCTAAATATTTGCGTGGAACAGCTGTCCACCGAATATTTACATTCAATTTCTGGGTGCCGATGCGACCTACAGCTTTTATTCCATGTGGATCCTGTCACCGAAGTAATCATGTTGGTTTTCTGGCTGCGGTGAAAGGCGTGCTCTCCTCAGATTCATCTAATGAGCAGAATGCGGTCCTGTGTTTGTTTCGGGACAAACAAGACACGCTCCTAAGAAGACATGGGTGTGGGTACTCGGAGAGATCAAAGCTTCATCTCTTCTTAGACAGGCCGCGCAAAACCAAATTTCAGCTGCCTCATTACTGAACACGCAGCGTGTTAAAGGAGAGCCTTAAAAGTGGAACTAGGATTTTTGTTCCCATTGTGAGGTTCAGACCAGTTGAGCCTGAGATCTGGTCCGTTGTGACTTTCCTTTCTTGAATGAAGACAGTGAATGGCAGGTCATTCTACCCTCTGAGTCTCATGCAAATCTTTGAAGAAGACATCTAGAACCATCATAATGGTTGCAGCAGAGGCCTGACGGTCAGCCAGACTGATCGAGACACTTCCCCTGCCCTGCTTATCTGGGTCTCGCTGATCTGCAGGTACCAGTTCAGTATTCCTTTTATGATCTGGTCTCCAGCTCTCAGCCTAGAAACTTCAGGCAGCGTTTGGGGAGAGAGGATTTTTCAGTCCAACACAGGCATGTTTAGTTGCTCAGTTGTTACCTTCCACTCTCATGAAATGAAATGGATCTTCTGCCAAGGGATATAGGCTTTGCAAAACCTAAGGCTGACGTTGCCCTTCACTTTTACAGTAAGCCAAACCACAGTTTTAATTTCTGCAAGACTTTCCGAATGACAGTGGAGCATTACACATAATTTTTAATAGACTTGGAAGGGATTTTGGAAGTCATCCCTTGCTCATCTGGAATGTTCGGTGGAGGATGCATTTATGACAGCTGGCTCTCCAGGTCCTACAGAAATAACTCCAGCATGGAGAATCCACTTGCTCCCAGTGCAGCCAGTTGAACTCCCAGCTTCTGAATAGCCCTTGGTGGTGGTGGTGGTGTTGATTACATTTCTGGGCAGTTCACAACATTAAGTTACCCATCCAGATTTCAACCAGGACTGACACGGTTCAGTTTCCAAGGTTAGGCAGGCTCTGGAAACGTATCTTCATGTTTATCCAAAAGCTGCTTCCTTGCGACTTCCAGCCATGGGTAGACGGGCACTTTGAAGCTCTGCTGATCTGTCCCTAGGAAAGGTTTACAGAAACAGTTCGTGGGTGTGCTCGTCTGTGTCTTCCTCACCCGCATGGTGCTTGTAACCGTCGTATGTTTTGTGACAGGCGTACTGTGACGGCGATGTTGCCACTCCCAATGCAGAACAACCTGCTGCTGGTGCTCCCCCGTTGCCTTACAGCCACGGTTTGCCTAGCTCTGCCGCTCCGAGTCCCGATAGCATGCAGCTGTCGCAGGTTTGTGCATGTTTTCGTCCCTTGTACCAAGCACCCTGGAGATGTTTGTTCGGTGCAATACAAAGCAGAATGCGCTTTACACAAGGAGGGTGTGGTGAGATGAAGGGAGCAGAAGGTATCTAATTATGAAACCGGTTAGTCCCTCTGCAGGTTACAGCTATCAGCAGAACTGGGTGTGCAGTACGTTGAAAGATCCAGGGTGAACAAAGAGTTCTTTTTCCCCCACTGTCTGCAATTATCATTGATTGTAGCTTCATTGAAAGGCCTCTGAGTTGTCCCGAAAGCAAGGAATGCGCTTGGTCTGTTCTGGAGTGTTTAGACCAGGAGTGCAGAGCCACATCTGGGCCTGCAGTGTTCCCTGGTTGGGCATGACCACTTCCCGTGTCCTCCCCCCCCCCCCCCACTTTCCCAGTGACTGATTCTTTGCAGGCCTTCTGGCTGTTGTTCACTGTTCATTCATCAAGTCTGAACTCTCTGTCTTAAGGCTTAGTTATAGACAAGATAGGAGAGCTTTAAGCTAAAATATGCCACGGTTCTTTGTATGTTTGGGATCCACCCTTTTATCCTGCCTCCCACTGGAATCTGGTCCTGAAAGTGTCTCTGAAATGGAATTATCTGTCAGGCTGAAAGGTTTAAACACCCCCCCTCCACTTCATACATGTGTGTGTGTGTGTAGGTGTGAATCTGCATGTTTGTTTTTTTGAAATACTTACATGCCTTGTATTTTATTTTTTAGATATGTGACTCTGACCATAAAAATATGTTGGAAGAGACTAGGTGAGAGTCTTCTTAAAATGTTTATAACATTGTCTCTCCCCTTCCTCCTCACCACTGAATAACAGGACTGTGTTGAGTTGTGTTACTAGTTCCTCTTATTCACTTGTTCCCCTTATTGAGAACGTCCACCTTGCTTTTTCTTAGGTCCCTCTCACTGACGGAGAGTCTCCGCCAACTCTCTGAGCAGATTAACGGCATGGTCAATCAGGTAACGACTGGATTCTTCTGACTTTTCCTACTCGGCTATTTTTATGCCCCTTTGAAAGTGAAGTAACCAGCTCAGGGATTTTCAATAATTGCAGAGGTCTTAGCAGCCAGGCAATAAAACAAAAAAACGTTTTCATACTGGAAACTGTTGTGAATGGATCATGTGCTTAGTGGGAAGCGGGTGTGAGTGGGATATTGAGTCTCTCAGCTAAAAGATATGCAGTAGGCATTCTTGTAAAGAAGACGTGTGTCTTTCAGCATGCCAGTTTCTTCTCCTTTCTAATTAGAGGTGAGGTAATCATATTAGCAGCATGTGGCTCATGCCGTTCCAGGGTTGAAGGGACGAGGCCTCGTGTTTGTTTTTAAATGACCTGCAAGCAAAATGCAAGCACATAAAGAAGAAATATTCTAGCCCAGTCGGTGCCCTGTTGTGATAATTTTCTAGGAATTGGTTTCATGCAGTGGAGCATTTGAAAACGGTGCCCCCCCCACCTGCAGTCTAATGAAATCAGTCCTCTTGCAGTCCCATGAATAAAATCAGTCATGCCACCTCACTATCCCACCGTCTCTTTCCAAGCCCAGTGTGGATCCAGCCATGAAAGAAGCTACACTCTGGAGTTCCTTCCATCTTTATCACAAAGCACAATTTGCTGCTTCGGCGGTTTACTGAATCGTCTTCTGTCTTGCTGTGCCAGTTCTGACATGATTTACTTTGGTTCCCCTTTCTTCTCTACATGTGGTTTTCTGTAGCCTGGATAATTGTAGGAAGGGGGAGAAATCCTGCATTTTAGGGGTGAGTCTGAAGGGGTTGTCCTTCAGGTTCTTTCTCCAGTTGGCTGATTCTGTAGAAGTACCATCATCCTGCTGTTACGAGAATATCTTGCTGAAGCTAATGCTGATGTGCTAGTGGAATGTTTCTTGTGTGGTCCGTCAAACGTTGTGCTCACAGACTCCTATATCTTGCAGCCCACAGCTTATGTGAATGGGGAAAATGCCACGTCTTCCACAGACATGAAGGAGATGGCGGTAGGTCCTCAGCCCCAGGCTCTTCGCCCTTGCTTTGAATATTTCAGTAAAGTTTTCAGTGTCTGCTGTAGTAGTAAGAGCTGACTTGAAGACATGGGTCTGCCCCCTCGGCGAAGGAGTGCAAGATGCTCTTCCGTTCGGTGTTTGGAGGCCGCATGCACTGGCTTCTGGACTGGGCTTGAATGTATTCAAAACATGCCATTATTTTTGATTAAGCTGGGGCTGTTCAGCAAGTGTTTGAATCTATCGGTGGGGCCATCTTCTGTTTTTGTGGGGGAGAAGGACTACAAAGAAGCTCAGCTGTGATGTTCATCATTTTTTCTCTCTCTAATTATTTACCTGTTTCTTTCTTCCTCTACTCCCTTCCTTTTCCTGCTGTTTGCATGTGCCCATCAGACACGTTATCAGGAGCTGGCAGTAGCCCTAGACTCCAGCAATCTAACAAACAAACAGCTCAGTACAAAGATAGAGGAACTGGTAAGGAACAACCAGACCAGCATGCTTGGCCTTGTTTTGCTGCTCCTCTGTGCGTTCTGGGTGTCCGTCAGGTTCTTTCACGGTGCCACAAGCAAAGGTGTCGTTCGCATAGCAGGAACTCGTCATGGGTGCGTCTGTATCAGATTCAGAGTTTAAACATTGACTTTATACCCCTTGAACAAGCCTCTGCCTGCGCATTCTCATGACCTCTGTTTTGCAGCACACTTAAGGAGCACGGTGCCTGCATAGGCGTCTTCTGGGAGGATGTGAGAGGGTGCGACATTCCTGGCTAGTGTATCCTATAAAGCAGGAATGGGTAACTTGTCAGCTTACTCTCCAAAGCAAGCAAATATTTGAGACTGCCAGCAAGAGCAGTTGCTCTTGACCCAGTTCTGGCCGTTTACCACCAGCGTATTGCCCCGAGGGATTATCCCCGAGGGACTGTGGCCTGCAAGGGAGAAACGGGAGGCGGCAGCAACCAAAGAAGCGGGGTAGGTGCCGAGCAGGACGTAACTCCCGTAGCCGGCACGCTGCTCCAGCTCGGCGAGTCAGTTGCCGCATGCTTTGTGCCCTGTTTTTGGTTTGCTTGCTTTTTGTTGTGAGGGTGCAGGGAGCAGCAGGTGCATACCTGAGGTCCGGCCCCTCCTCCAGTGTGAAGTGCTGATGCACGTCACAAGCTGTCAGGTGCAGGAAAGGGCTGCCTCGAGAGATGCTTTGAGAAGGCCAGCTGCGCTTCCAGTTGTGGCTGGACCTTCGTAACATGAACGCGATAGGCTCTGTCCGCTTCAGCAGCGATGGGGAGCAAATGGGTTCGACTCAAGCATGGGGGCAGCACGTGACCATCTTTCCAGGACTTGTGGCACAGTGAGTGAGCCTGCTTGTCTTCTAGCTTGCATGGGGTGTCTCTGCTTCGCTCGCTCACTTTGCTGCCTTTTCCCTTCAGCTAGGAGTGTGTAAGGCCCATTTTTGCTCAGCCAAGTGCTGCATTGTTTAAAATGCTGCTCTCCTTCATTTCTTCCTCACCAGCTCATGGTATGTCCTCTCTTCATTTTCGCTGCATTGTTCTTTCCTTTGTATCCTCTGTGTGTGTGTGTGTGTGTGTGTGTGTGTGTGTGGTTTTTCCCCCCCTGTTGCTGCATTTCAGTGGATCACTGAAATGCATTGTATATCAGCACTGCCCACCAGTAGCTTTGCCGTGGCCTTTCACCAGGCAGGAGGCTGAAGGGCTCTTTTATTCATTGCAGGGAATTGTCCACTGAAAAAGCAAACCTGAACTCTATAATGAGGGGAATATGGAGCTTGTCCAGAAGCAGGAATTCGGGATAGATAAAAGGAAGTGCTGCTTCATGCAGCGTGTAGAGCTCCCTCCATTAGATGTCGTGATGGCCCCCGGTTTCCCCAGCTGTAAAGGGGGATTGGACAAATGCACGGAGGAGGAGGAGGAAACCGTACATGGCTACTAGTCCTGGGGCCGCTATGCCGCCGCCAGTATCAGAGGCACTCTACCTGTGTGAAGCAGTTGCTCAGGAACGTGGGGCTAGAGGGTGCTGTTGTGCCCGTGTCCTGCTTGGACAGCCGGCTGGTCACTGTGTGAACAGGATGCAAGACCAGGTGGGCGCTTGATAGGACCTTATGAGGTGGCGCTCATAACACCCTGGTGGTCCTGTATGCTGTTCTGCGCCAAGAAGTCTCACAACCACAGGATGCCACCTCCAGGTCTGTCTGCTGGTTTCCAGGGCCTGGTTTGGGCATAACAGTCAACACTGCTCTATCAGAGGGATAGCCAGCCTGGTCTTCACTGGATGTTTTGCACTATAACTCCCATAAGCCCCAGCCAGCATGGCCAGTAATCGGGGGTTATGGAAGTAGTGGTCCAAAACATCAGGGAGGCATCAGACTTCCTATTCTTGGTATGGTTAAGTGTATGTGTTTTGGGCTCATGAGCTCCCTCCCTTCTGCTGCAGCTGAGATAGTGCAATTCGAAACATTTGTTTCTGGATTCAGTTAACCCTAAACTGTGATTAATCTTAATTATGGTTAGTTGAATTAAGCTAGTTTCATAAATGATGGTTTGAAACTGGGTTGTTTCAGCTAAACATGGTGAAAACACACTGCAGTTTTCTGGGTTAGATTGAATGCTTAATTGTGGTTCTAAAGAAGAAGTGAATGCTTCCCATGATAATGAAACAAGACAGAGGAGTAAGGTGTGTATGAGCCCAAGGCAGCTTGTTTTGTAATGGTAAATTAAGTTTCTTTGGGGTTTCTTATTGCACTGATGCAGTTATCAGCAGAGAACTGAATGAAATTGATAGACCATGGTATATCTTATTGCATCTAAAGAATGCAAGTGGCTTAAAAGGAACCAGAAACTTTCAGATAGGCTGTAAACATATACTGACTTTCTATATGTCACAACCAAATTTTCTGGAGGTAGAATTACTTTTTGAGGTGCATACAGTGAGCTTTATGGGGAGATAATTGAGGTTGCAAGTCGCCTCATAGATCATAGCATAAAACTGGTAGGTTTCTGTGCCCTAATCCTAACCATGTTTTTTCCAACCTTGTCTTCAGATTTTTCTCCCGGAGCATGAGGGCAAATCTTGGCTCCCTTGTAAAAAGGGATTCCAAAGGTTATGTGTTTCATCGGATCTGAGTTCCTAGTCAAAAGTACAGGCTTTCAGTTGCCCGGTTTTAGGTGTGAAGGAGGAAGAGCGACAAGGAGGAGGTGGGAGACCAGGGCTCACCAAAGCATGTCCTGATGCTCACCAGTGACTTCCTGCTGCGTCCGAATGGGAATGCTGTCCCCTGCTGCAGTGGCCTCCCCCCCCTTGTGCGCTGCCCCACAGAAGGTGCTCCCCTCTCCCCAGCCATTCACGTGCGTTTAGCCTTCCCTGCTGTACAAGCACTCTGCACCTCTGCTATAAGCCAGCACATTCGTTTTACCTCTTGGCTCATCTATTGGGGTGTTGCACGCGTTTGCTTCATATTTTGATAGACTGCAGGATCAGGGGTTGCCCTGTGTTGTCAGAAAGAGAAACGTACCCATTCAAGAAAAAAAAAATACCCAAGAGGTTTGTTGTTACCTCATTTCTCCCAGAATGATCAACGTTTCCCTGAACTATTTCGGAGGCTGCTTTTCAGCAGCCAAGTACTGGCTGTGATGAACTTTCCAGCTTGATTGTATAGAAGTGCCTCCCTGTGAAAGAGATCTATGTAGCACCAGCATTTTATATGAAGTGGTATCTGCATAATGCTGGGCCTCTTCTGTCTTAATTATTGTATTAAGCTGCCCTTGATAAAGGTAGACAGTAGCTTTTTATCATGAGAGTGGAGCAAGGGAAGACTAGTCACTGAATTCAGATATGCTGTTGTTTGCATTTATGCCAGGCCTCCAAGGTGTGTTGCTTTTAACTGTGTGGCCTTTCCGAAGCATCGCAACAAGTTGAGGGAAGCTGGAAGCCCAGGTTAATATTAATGGATTAATTTTATTTCTTCTGCAGAAACAGCAGAACCAAGAGACTATGAATCAGCTGGAGAAGGTAATATACTCTGCTCTGGAGACAGACATAAATCTAAATTCTAAATCCTTAGTATCAGAGACAGAGCCTTGGTTCTAAAGGAAGTAAAAACCAAATGGAGCCAAACTCATATCTTGGATTTTAGGAAAGCCAGTTTTAATAAATTCAGAATAACGCTAAGCAAAGTCACATGGCAACTGGCTCTTATGAGAGAATCCAAGATGGGTGGGAATTTTTTAAAAAGGAAATTCTAAAGGCACGATCACAATTCCAACAGGGAAAACGGGTAGAAGACAACAGAAGAAACCCCTGTGGCTTCACAAAAAGCTTGGAGATTTTGAAAACAAAAATGGGCCTGTATAGGAAGTGGAAGGCAGGCTAGCCTGCACAGGAAGAATACAGGCAGGTAGCGCGGCATTGCAGGATAGTGTCACGAGGGCTGAAGCTAGGAATGGACCGAGGCTGGCAAGGGGTGCTAAAAAGGCCTGCTTCAGGTAGTGCCACGGTAAAAGACAGAGGAGAGAAATGGGGGCCGAACTACTCGGGGTAGACGGCAAAATGATAACATGACAAAGCAAAAGCAGCCGTGCCCCGTTCCTACTCTGGCTCATTCTTCTTGCAAAATAAGGTCTGTGACATTCCTGAGGAAGGGAAGCGTAAGCTGAGGGACCGGGATGGCAGCTCAAGTTTGATAGGCAAATGGCCAAGGATCATCTGATTGGGTTGAATGAGTTCGTATCTCCAGAACCTGATGAAATCCATCCTAGAATCATGAAGGAATTCTCTTTGAGAGGTCATGGAGTGTAGAGGAAGTGCCAGATGACTGCAGAAGTGCTCAGGTTGTCCCCATCTTCAAGAAAGGGAAAAAGGAAACTGGGAACTACAGACCAGTCAGCCTGACAGCAACCGCTGGGAAAATTCTGGAGCAGATTATAAAGCAGCCAGTCTGCAAGCACTTTGAAAGAGTGCAGTGATTAGTAGAAGGCAACATGGATTTCTCAAGAACGAATCCTGCCGGACTAATCTGATTTCATGTCTTGGCCGGGTCTCTTCTCTGATGGACTGTAGAAATGTTGTGGACATAATCTGTCTTGACTTCAACAAAGCTACTGACAAAGTGACCCATGATTAGCAAACTAGCCAAACTAGCTTGGGCTTGATAGGTCGGAACGCTAGGCTGAAAACAACAGAATGAAATTCAGTAGGAACAAATGCCGTGCTTTGCACCTAGCCGAAAGAAACCGAATGCATCGTTACAAGAAGGGGAATACTTAGCTCAATGATACTGCAAATGAGCAGGATCTTGGAATTGGCTGGAGAGTGCACTACATAATGCTGCGAAGATTAAATTTTGGTGATACAGGAAGCAAGCCGACAGTATGGTTTTCGTGTTGCTATGTCTGCTTTGTATTTCCTCAGGAAAAGAAGGGGTTTGAACAGAAATTTGCAAAAGAGCAAGCTGCATTGCGAGAACAGTTACAGGTACTTAACCCCCCCCCCCCCCCCGCAAACCGTATTTTGTTTCATCCCCCAGTTAGTTCTCTTGTTGTTTGGTATTTAGGGAAAGGCATGCACTGTTAATGATCTGTCTTTTTAGTGTCTGCGGGGACAGCGAGGGGCTGAGCGATAGCCCCCATTCATTCATCTGTCCTGTGCTCTATTTGAAGGTCCACATTCAAACCATCGGAATCCTGGTTTCTGAGAAATCTGAGCTGCAGACAGCTCTTGTGCATACACAGCAGGCCGCTCGACAGAAGGCTGGTAGGCAATACCTTGAGACTTCTGACTCGCAAATCGGAATGCTCTTCAGCCTCGGAGGAGATCATAGCGTTGCTTTAGCGAACATAGAAGGAATTTTTACACCACCGTTGATGGTTCATTGTTCTTTAAAGAAGCCCATAGATGTTCCCCAAAGCGCAAACATGTGTTGTAGGACTGCCAAGGGAGGGATAGGGTTCCACCCCTCTTTTAGCAGTCTGCTACATTTCTGCGATGGGCGTGGAGGAAGGGGCTTCTGGGAGCCTGCTTGCTTTCTATCTCGGGTTCCTGTGATACAGGGAGTGACTTATCCCTCCCCTCCAGCCTTGCGCTCTCACCTGTCTGCTCTTCCTTGTCACTGGCCTCTACCATGCCAACCTTTAATTTTCAAAGCAGGCAGTAGATACATCACATGCCTCTTTGTTGTTGTCTTCATGATTGTTTTTTGAGTACTAAATGTGTTCACCTCCTAATTGTGTTAAAGTCAGGTTTGTTATTACTTGTCCCGAAAGCACCAGCGTGTTTCTTTTCTATTCTAAAAGTATGTTGTCATGTGCTCAGAGCAGGCCAATGCCACATCCATTCAACCGGCTCCTTAGTGCTAAGCATTTTCCCCTGTGGTTTTTCAGGGCAGCTTCTTTGCACTTACTGCAATCCTATTTTTTCATGGTGGGGAGAGGGGAACTATCAAGTGGTGGTCAGATCAAATTCTGGTCTCCTCACCTTGTTTCCAATGGACAGGAGAAGCCGAGGACCTCGCCGCTCGGTTGCAGTCCTCTCGTCAAAGGATATCTGAGGTGGAGCACACGCTTTCCTCCCTCTCTACACAGCAGAAACAGGCAGAGAAAGTAAGACTGTCCTGTATGCATTTGTCATTTTCCCTGTCATCTCTCTTACCCTCAGTACTTTTGCAGGTGGCATTAGAATTTTCCCACCGCGTCCACCAAATTGACAACATCTTCCCGGAAGACATTTAAAATACACAGTTCAAAGCCTGCCGGCTTTGTTTAGCTCCGTAGAGTTGGCACTTGGCTTTGCTACCCCTGCCAAATTCAAACTGGACCTCTGCCAGGGAGGCCGAATGCCGGGCTCAGTCAGAGAGCCAGTTTGGCATCCAGCTGCCACCCGCTCTGTCTCACGTCCAGCTCCTAGCATCACTTTGTGCAGGTGGAGCCCCCCCCCCCCTTGCGTGAGATGCCGGTTTAGCTCTGTTGCCCCCGCCGTAACCAGATCTGGAACCCCGGAAGCCTTCCTGCTGTGGCTTCATTTAAAAGATGCCTGACGGGGCTGAGAGGAAGTGCCTTTTGCGGTCTGAATTTTGCTTTTGCTGGAGTTAGCTGGCAGATGTGCCCTGTTTTAAGATTCTCGTGGGGTGTGTGCGTGCATGGTGGGTAGAGGGCGCGTGCCAATAATACCTACCAACACATTACTGGAATAACGGAATCATTTACAGGCTTCTTATAGAGGGCTGGCACAACTGGAGTGGATTGCAGATTTTGAATGTCGTGGCCTGTGCAGGCAGGGAGGGAAAGCTGCATGGAGCAGGGGGTTATTTGGCCAGGAGGAATGACAGGAGCAGAAACTGGTCACACACTGGGAATTTTTTGGAGAGTTTTGGGGTATTGGACAGTACACCAGTGCTATAAATAAATAGTAAAAATAAATAAAACTGTCAGTGCACGATCAGGCAAATGCTGTTTGCCCTTCACCTACTTTTGTGAAGGCTCCAGGTGGGGACGGGTGCAAATTGCTACTTCTGGCACTTGGAAGCAAATGGTGGATGCTGAAGAATGAGTGACCCTAAAGAGCACTGCAAGATCGCAGGAACCTGGACTCCAGAGCTCACTCACAGATTCATGTGCATTTTCTTGTTGGCAGCATAACAAAGAGCTGGCAAAGGAACGAGACGCTCTGAAACTGGAAGTCTACAAGCAGAGGTGAGGCTTGCGATTCTCGGTGCAACGTTGCCATCACTGGTGTTTTCCTGGCAGGCTCTCCCCTCGTGCAGCAGAAAAGAAATGGTGAAAGTTGTGGTTCCAGTGCACACTGACTCTCCCATTGATATTAGCCCATGTGTGTGTTTTCTAGCAAAAGTGGCGATGAACTCAAGCAGCAGAACTCTGAACTGTCGGAAAAGCTACGCAGCCTGATCTCTGAGAACTCGGCCATGAAGCTGGATGTGGAAGATCTGCACAAGAAACTTGAAATGGCTGAGCTGATGATTCAGCAGGTGACTTGCTACTTTGTCAGAGACGTTGCCTTTTGCATGACATTCTTGTCACAGCAAAGCGTAAGAGTAATTTCTTGACTAGGCAGTTCTGTGTCTCTTCATCCCAAAACTTCTAAATGAATCTGCTGTCGATACAATGGGATCTAAGTTAAAAGGCACTGTAGAAGCATGGAAACCCCTCTTGTGGATTGCCGAAATGTTAGAGCGGTGGAAGAATGAGAAGCAGCTCAGAATTCCCAGGGTTTGCTGTAACTAGCGATTTGGTTCTTCTCCAGTTTGCGAGCCAGCCAGGCGTGCCAGATGCCAGTCAACAGATGCAGATGGCGCTGGAAGAAAGAGCAAATTTAGAGACACAAATTGCTCAGGTATGAGGACTCTCAGGAGATCCCCTGGCTCCAATGCAGCCCTTTGTGGCAGGCAGGGGGAGCCGGCAGCCACAGCAGGTTCTCTTGGTGCCATTCCCAGGCGCCCTGGCTTCTCCCCAAGGCTTGGCTTATGCCTGCTTTTTCCCTTCCTTGCTGAGCAGCTGTCGGAGTCACTGCAGCAACTTCAGGCTGAACGGGATCAGTATGTCCACAAGCTGAAGGAGGAAGGCGGAGTTTGGCAGCAGCGAGTCCAGATGCTTTCTGAGCAGGTAAGTGCTGCAGCTGCTCTTCCATTGCTGGAGCAGCGGCAATAAGGAATTCTTTGGGCATCGTGATGATTTTGAGGGTTTGGGAGTGCTAAATTTTCATGTGAAACGGGGCAGCAACAGCGGCCGTTCCTTCTGTTTTTTCCTCTGGTGCAGGTCTGTGCTTTGACTGAAGAAAAGGACCTAAATGTCACTCGCATTCAGGAGCTGGAGGCCAACTTGTCTGAGTTGCTCAGCAGTCAGTCTGGTAAGAAAGAGGGTTCGGAACTGCAGGAACAAGGCCGTCTCTCGCGTGGAGACATTCGACTCGTACGTGGGTTTGCAGGAGTCCCTGCTGGGCCACAAGCGAGATGCCTTTCTCTCTCTGCCCTGGTTCCCCAGCAGTGAAGCCCCAGGAAGGCGAGCTGGGCCCTGCTGCCGGGCCCACAGAAGCTGAGCTGCGCTTGCAAGGGGAGCTCGCCCAGCTGCAGAAGGAGAAGCAGGAGCTCCAGGAGCAGTGCCAAGTCCAGGTGCGAGACAACCAGCAGCTGAGCCGCCTCAATCAGGAGCAGGAGGAGCGGCTGCAGGAGTTGGAGAAGGCGCTGCAGCGCTACAGCGAAGAGGCCGTGGACAGGCACCAGATCCTGGAGGACATGCAGAGCGACAAGGCCACCATCAGCCGGGCCATGGCTCAGAACCGGGAGCTGAAGGAGCAGCTCGCCGAGTTGCAGAACGGGTTTGTCAAATTGGTGCGTCCCTTCTCAGAAGACGAGCGATGGCTCTGTCTGTTGGCCAGCCAGGGGGCCTTCTCCCCGCTTTGCTCCACTAGGAACACATGGATGCGAAACAGAGGCCATGAGGCGCAAGGGGAGCCTTGTGCATAAGTTGCTCAGCTTGCTCTCTCCCTTGCACCAGTTCGCTTTGTCACGGCTCGCCCTTTTCCCTGTTTGTCTGGAGGGGCCCGCCTCATCTTCCCGTCCCCAAGACTGCTGTTGTCTTGTGCTGCTTCTGCCTTGTCCTTGGGTTTCCATGCAAATCTCATTTTACGCTTTCTCTGACGCACAGCGTACAAGCTGCTTTTCCTCATGGTTGCAGAAAGGTGAACAATTCCATGCTCGTGAACTTTACAACAAGGATGGGCAGCTTGTCGTCCTCCAGATTTTTTTGCCATAGCCCTGCCATCCCTCACTAGGGCTGATAGGAGTTGGGAGGGCCACAGGCTGCCCTGTGGGGAAGGTGGCTAGTGTGTGTCCCTAGCGATTAAATGAATGAGCCCTTGGTTTGAAAAGCAAGGGGATGTACCATGCAGCAAGACGCTTTAACCTGCATCTCTTCTGGAGCATTCTCTGTGAGGGCTCATTCTGTCTTCTCAAAGACGTGTTTCTTGTTGTAATTAAATGCACGGTTGCTGCCGTACTGTACAGCGCAGAATGCCACCTTACCGTAGCCATCATGCCCTGGTTTCATGATTCTTTCTATAAAGTAGCTTCCTATGTGCAGAAATGCATAGAAAGCGTGCGCTCATGGTAAATGTGCTTATGTCACTGCTTTTTCGTGTTTCCCAGCTCTCAGCCTAGAGCTCTTGGTGCAGCTCCACCCCCTCTAGGTCTTCAGCGGGGCTGGGGGGTGCCCCCGAACTGCAGGCGCAGCCTCCTCACACCCAGCATGGCGCTTGGAGCTCTTGCCTGCCCTGACGCTGCCCCGTCCCTCTGTGTCTTTGCAGACCAACGAGAACATGGAGGTGACCAGTGCCTTGCAGTCAGAGCAGCACGTGAAGAAGGAGCTGGCCAAGAAGATTGGGCAGTTGCAGGAGAAGCTGGCCGAGCTCAAGGAGATGGTAATTCTTCACTTGAGGGCAGGGCTGGCCACAGGGCATGCCCTGGTGGAATCGAGTGCGAGCAGGCACCGCGAGGATTGCTGCGCGGGGAGACCAAGCGCCTCCCGCCAGGCCTTCGGCCCAAGATGAGCAGCTTCAGGGCTGGCTTAGGAAACTGGTCTGACAGGGCGTAAAGTCAGGCCACATCGCCCAACTTCCTGACCGGAATGTAGGGGAACACGGGCAAGGTCTCCTCTACCCAGCAGGCTTTGCAAATGCACCTCTTGGGTCGAGGGGATCTTACCAGGCATCGAGGCTGCTGGGATCCAGCACGTGATGTCCAGCAGCTCTGCAGCTGCAAACCATTTTATGTTTGGAAGCATGAGGCTGGGCAAAGCGATGTGCTGACTTCCTTGCCTGCTTTCTAGTTCTTCGATGGTTGCATCCTGTTTACCCCAGGCTGGTGCTGTTACATTTTTTCATGGTTGTCCTTTGACAACTTCGTTAGCGGAGAGAAGCAGAGGAAGGTTCACAGAAGTTGTGCCAGCCGCTGTTGTACGCGAACGTCCATGACAAGAGCTAGACTTGTATCAGCACCGAAGGAGATGCCCCACTGCTTCAGCAAGATGCCTGGGAAGGCATGCTTAGACCTCTCCCTCAGTGGAGGCTTTCTGTTGCCAGACCCCAGCCTCTCCCTGTGCTTTGGACAGCATTCTGTTCCCCTGCCCTTCCACAACTGGTTGTGGGGTGTGGAGGGTTCTGCTTTGCTTCCACCACTGCCCTGTCTGCCTAGCCTGGCTTCAGGAAGCTTTTGGGCAGGACCCCTGTCATTTGAAAGTTCTGAGGATATCAGTGAAGGATTCAGTAGATTGGAAGCCAAGCTAGAGACGGGAGCAGCAGATAGGGCTGTTGAAATCACTTTCCAAGGCTGGTTCCTTGGAAAGCCCCAGGGTGGGGAGGCCAGCCCATCCTCTGACCCTGCTTCTCTGCTGCTTTAAGCTGTTAAGGACGGGAGTCTCTTTAAAGAGGCAGAGCAGGGATGTGACTGTGTGAGAGCTTGCTTGTGTTGCTTCCTGGGAGGAGCCGGTTTAGTACAGCTCACACCTCCTCTACGCTGCAGTCATAGAAGAAGGAAGCCTTTACTTTAAGGGGGGAAATGAATAGCCTGCTGGGTGCTGTTATCGAGTCTCTCATGTGGATGGAATCTTTGCCAGGAGACAACAGTGCTCAGAAAAATTAGTTTGGGTGGCAGGGGAGATGTGGGCAGGGGGAAGGGCTCAGCCTGCCCTGGTGTAGGTTGTGCTGCCTTCACACCTGCCTGCATCCTAGGCAGTTCCGTGCATCCACCTGTGGGGCTGAGGAGGGGAAACCTCCTGGCCAGGAATCTGATACCCTCCTTGTTCCTCTGGCCTCGGTTCAAGGTGGCTCAGAAGACGCAGGAGGCGCAGACATGTCAGGAGCAGCGGGACCAGTACTACACCCACCTCCAGCAGTACACCGCAGCCTACCAGCAGCTAGCCGCCGAGAAGGAGGAGTTGCACAAGCAGTATCTTCTTCAAACACAGCTCATGGATCGCCTGCAGCACGAGGAGGTTCAGGGCAAAGTGACTGCTGAGATGCACTTTAAAGAGCTGCAGCAGGCAAAGGTGCGGGCTGGGGAGGGCGGGGCTGCTGGGCAGGATTGTGGAAGCCAAGCTGGATCGGGTCTCGGAGGGTCCCGTTGGGAGTGGCTTCAGCCCGCTGTGAGGGAGGCTTGGCATAATGGCTGAGCAGGTCCACCTCACGCACACTCTGTTGCGACTGGCAGCTGGTTCTGTCTTCGGGAACGATGGACACAGTCTTGGGTGTGGTGGTGTGATTCAGTGTAATTCGGTGCCATTTGCTGTCCCGGTGCAAAGACGCACGCATGACGGTGGTGGTGCGTGATCCGGTCTATTTAAGTGTAGTCCAGGCCTGGAATCGCTGTGGCAAAAGAAGCTAAAAATAAAACATCCATTGCTTCTTTCTTGAAGGAAAGCCTGGAGATGTTTGCCAAAGAAAACAAAGAGTTGCAGGCCCATGTCAGCCAACTGCTGGAAGAACTGGATGCAAAGATGCTTCCCAGGGCACAAGGTGAGCTGGTTTTCCCTCGGCAGGAAGCCAGTAAAGCTGATCCTAGCAAGATGTTCTGACTCTTCCATGCACCTCCTTCTGCTCGTAGGGGACGGAGTGGAAACCGAAGAGGCTGCAGAGGACCGGGAGACTCTTCCACTCAGCATCCCAGAGGATTTTGAAAGCAGGGAGGAAATGGTGAGCACCCAGCAAATCGATTCTGGAGCAGGTACACTTGAGCTGGGGATGGGAAGATCAGGCGGGAACGTCTTGGAAGTTCTGAGATGCTGCAGCTGTGGAATTCTGGTCAAGGAGTTGTGGCTGCGCACTGACTTTCAACATCCTTCCCAGCACCACTATCCATTTCTGAACTTACCGTGCAGTTGCTGTAACTTGCATTAATAATTTTTGTGCTTTTGAAAGACCTCCACGGCAAGGGAGGACCTGGGGTGTAGCTGTTCTTTGGGGCTCTCAATAAACTTCAGAGCGAGGTCATATGCACAGGACCCTGGTTAAAGGAGCTATAAATAGACATCTGACAAAATCCCCACCATCTTCCTGCTGCCTGTTAGCATTTGTGGCCTGAATGTCCTTATTAAACAGGTGTAATTCATCATATGGGCCCCGGGAGACATTTTGGGGGATTGAACAAAACCTTTATGCTAAAGCGCAGTGTACGGAACTGCATTTTAGGTCGCTTTCTTGACATCTGCCATGTCCCAAGTGGAGACGGAGCGTGAGGAGATGAGGCAGCAAGTGGCTGAGCAGAAGCGGCAATGCAGAGGCCTCCTGCAGCAAATGGCGTTCCTGCGGAAGGAGCAGCAGCTGTCTGCCACTTTGGGAGGAGGTAAACACACGCTGTGCATGGGCGCGGGGAGCCAGGCATGGCTATTTTAATTAAAGTCACGTTTATTTAAATGTTGTTTTAATTAATTGCGGATTTATTTATTGGTTTTAAATTATTATGCCAGGATGTTTCCAGTTTTTATGTATTTGTATTGATATTTATTTATTGGAAGCCACCCCGAGGCTTATGTGAAGGGGGCAGCATAGAAGAATCCCAAATAAATAAATATATTTCTGGGCCAGCAGGACAGGCACTCTGTAGCTTGAGGCACAGGCTTACTCTGCATCCTCTCACGTCAAATTGCCTGACCTTTTCCAGGTTCCGTCGCAGACTCCGTTCCAGTAGAAGTACACGAAGCCTTAAAAAGCGCCATGGAGAAGTTGCAGGTGAGTGTCTGGGGCCGCTGAGGCCCACGAGCCCCGGAGGGAGTGCAAGCGCTGGTTTACCCACCATGCTTTGCTGCACTTGATGAGGGGGCAGGCAGGTTCATGTGAAGGTCTCTTCGGTTCATGGGTCCCTGGCTTGGCCGTTGGGTGGGAAATGGGCTTCTGTGCATCGCTTGTGGTCGCCTCGTGGCACGTAAAGACTGCTGATCAGCAAGGCCTCACAGCTGTAACTCTCTCTCCATCCCCCAAAATGAATGCAAGTCACACTGGATCAGCTTCTCACCATGGCCGAGGTCTCTTCCCTCCCTCTCTGCCCTGGTCCTTTTTTCAGGCGGTGGGCCCTTCAGAATCACTGCCTTTTAAATCAGACAATTCTGTATGGCAACATCAAGGGGAGCAGAAACCATTCGCTGGTGCTTAAATCACGAAAGGTGATTTGGTGCCTTCTGCAACATTTGGAGAGAGGTGCACTTAGGGCAGGGATGAGAAACCCGCCGTTCTCCAAGATGTTGGACTGCAGTTCATATCACTCCTTGCCATGGACTGTGCTGGCTGGGGCAGATGGGAGGTGCTGTCCAATAACGTCTGGAGAACCACAGGTCACCCACTCCTGGTGTCCGAGATCCGTTATGAAACCTCTGGAGCCTTCTGCCGCCTTCTCCTGGAAAGCAGCGACAAATTTCCCCCTTTGCTGGAGCAGTTAGACCTGTGTGGGCAGAAAGACCCTGTCACTTCCTTTTCCCCGAAATGAGCTCCTTCAGTGTCCAGGAGAACTGGCCAGGAGCCTGCATCCTGCCGTATCTGTCGGAGCACTCCTGATTTGGATGTCTGGCTAGGGCCCTGCCAGCTGCTATGCCAGGAAGGGCTCTGATTGTTGGCCCTTGCATTTTTAGTCCCGATTCACAGAGCTGATGCTTGAGAAGGCAGAGCTGAAAGACCGAGTAGAAGAGCTGGAGCACCGCTGTATACAGTTGTCTGGAGAAACGGACACTATAGGTGAGACGAACAGAATGCCCTCCCGGCTCCCTGTTTGGACAGAAGGCGACTCCCAATTCGGGCCCTTAGCTGTTTTCACTGTGTCGCTTGCTTATCAGCGTTGATTGATTTATTTCTATGCTGTTCACGTTTTGTCTTAAAGTCACCTTGTAAACTGCCCTGGCATAGGAAGGACAGTATAGAAAGTACTTTCTGTTCTGTTCTGTTCTTTCTTTCACGGCTGCACGTGAATGTGAGCGCACCGCCACTGTGCTGTGCTGTGCCTGCCCAGCCTCAGTCCTCTCTCCTGTGCTCTAGGCGAGTACATTGCCCTGTACCAGAGCCAAAGGGCTATCCTGAAGCAGCGCCATCGGGAGAAGGAAGAGTACATCAGCCGACTGGCCCAGGACAAGGAGGAAATGAAGGTGAGCGAGGGGCCTGCCGCCCGAGGGATGTCTGCTGTTGAAAAGGGCAGTGTGTGTTGCATGGGCAGGGCGAACCGAGCTGGGTCCATTTTCCTCTCCAGATGAAGTTGCTGGAACTCCAGGAGCTGGTGATGCGCTTGGTTAGCGAGAGGAACGAATGGTACATGAAGTACATGGAGGTGACGCAGGGTGCGGTGCCTCAGTTGACCCCAGGGAGTGAAGCTGCTGTTCTGGCGGAGAGGCGCCTGGAGCTGAGTGCCACTGATGCTGAAGGTGAGCGGCTGGGGAGCGGGGAGGAGCCGGACTGCTAGGCGTTTTGAGAAGGGCCTTCTCCAGACTGGCGCCCTGTGGATGTCGCAGGCTGCAACCCCCACCTGTCCCCGCCAGCGCAGTCGGTGGCCCTGCTGGCTGGTGCTGGTGTGCATGGCAGTCCTGCACATCCGCAGGGCTTCAGGCTGTGGAAAGCTGGACTGGAGGAGCCGTTCCAGAATTTGCCCCTGGAGCGTGGCGGTGGCCGGTCCCACATCTTGCTCTGGCCCTGAGAAGCAATAGCGATGCGGTGTGGACTTGAGCGTTTCCGGAGCTTTTCTCCTGCCCACTGGTTAGCAGTAATCCCCTCCACACATCTGGGTTGAGGGAGAAGAGCTCCTGGCTCAGAGCGCAAGTGGACACTGGTGTGATTTGCGAGCCAGCGCAAGCAGCCCCATCTCCTGCCTTGCCTTCCAGGACTGAGAGAGGTGAGCCTAACGGATGAGCCGGAGCGAGAACCTGCAGCATCCCAGCCACTCCCACCTCACAGCGACGGCAAAGGCCTCCAGCCAGCTCCTCAGGATCCAACGGCCAAGCAGATCATGCAGCTTCTCCATGAGATTCAAAACCCCCGGGACAGGCTGGGCTCCCTCTTGGAAAACCCATGCATCCCCTTCTTCTACCGGGCGGATGAGAACGATGAGGTTAAAATCATGGTGGTGTAACCGGGTGTGGAGCCAGTGAAGGACAGAACATGTCCTGTATTGTTTTCTGTCCTGCCTGCCTGGGCTGCAGCCTGGGGACACGTGGTCCGAGCTGGGCAGATCCTGAGAGCTAGGCATCTAATTTTCCCTTTGGTTGTTCCTGAATGAACTATGCAGGGCCACCAGATGAAGCTGCAGGGAGACTTAGTTCTCTTGGCATTTAATTCCGAGAGCCAGTCAGTTTTTCAGCCCACGACACAGTTCTACTAGTCACCCTTGCCACTCGCCCGCTCCGTTTCCACTGGGACCAGGTGGCTTGGAGCCTTTGGTCTTGGCCGCTCGGCCTGCCTCACACCTGGACATACGAGCCTTCGTCTCTAGCCGTCACCACCACCACGCCCCAGACAGACAGAGGTTTGACTGGCTACCTATTTAGGCAAGCTGCTCTGGCGGGTGGCATTTTTTCAGTTACCTCTTTGGGTGAGGCTTCTGGCTACGTAGCAGAGCTGGTCTGAGGGTGGGATAGCTGCACCGTTGAAGGTGACACACGAGTCCTCTACGTTGGATGGTTTTATTTAGTTTTAAAGATGAGGAAGCCTAGTTAAAAAGAAGCCAATCACTGGAAAAACAAATGTGTTTTTGCGTTGATTTCTGGAATTTAAGTTGCCTGTAATTGGATTTCCTGTGGTTGAGCAGGGGTGATGAGACTCTATTGGGATATTCTGAATAAAAGTTGTTTTTGGTTCTGTAAGCCCTAGTATGAAACTAGGCAGAAGAATTCTATGAAGGGATGTATCTTGAGTGGAAGCAGTGTTGCCAGTGCGGGAGGGAGGGAGGGAGGGAGGGACAGACGGACAGACGCGAGGATTTGTTCTGTGCGTAGCCTGACTCTTCTGCGGGAGATGCTCTGTGGAAGAGAGTGCTGCCTTGGCACACAGGGTAGCGGAAGTTGTAGGCCGGTGGTGTGGCTGCTCATGCATCACTGCGGTCCTTGTGGAAGTGGAGGCGCCAGCAAGATGAGCAGCTGTGCTCTCACCCTGCACTTCTCTGTAAGGCAGTTTGCCAGTCGCTTATGTAACTGATTCGCCCATTGTTCGCCACTGCCTTTTCCCAGCAGAACCTGCTAGAGACAGTGCATCCAAAGCACATAGGGGATTTTCTGGAACAGCTTCTTTCTGCCCAGTTTTCCAACACAGCATGACTGTAGACGAGATCACTGTACTCTTCCAGGCTCTAGAGAGCTGCATGTCCCCAGGGGATTCTTGACTGAAAAACAGAAAAGGCACCTGAGGAATTGGCACAGCCATCGTTTTGACTGTCAGTGTTACTCCCTCAGTGGATCGTGTCAGGGCAGAAGCACAGCGGGCTTGTGAGCTCCTGTTTGCACGAGTGTACATAGTGTATCTGTGTAACATTTTGTATATACCTTGAATAAAGGAGAGAGGAATCCTTTGGCAGCATTTCTGGCTGCTGGAAGGCAACTTGTAACCTTGTATAATATAAAAAAGATCTAACTTCAGTGGGGCAGGGTGGCCAGCAGCAATGTGATTTAATATAGAACACTATTCAATATTTATTGGGTGTCTGGTTTTGAGGAACGTGAAAGGAAAACCTGTATTAAAGAAATCTTGCATTCTATTGCAGAGGTAATTTAATCCCGTTACAGAATTGTTCTTTCCAAATAAACCTGTTCCACCTAGCATGCTCTGCATGTTCCTGTCTTCTGTTCTGGAAAAGCTAACCGTCTTGCGTGGCCGAACGAGTGCAGTTAGGTTGTGTGAGCTGTACATGCGTTGTGCTTTGTGTCCCCTTTCCTTGCAGGGCTCTTTGCTCAGGAAAAGGAGGAGGCAGAATCTGGTTGCAGGCCCCTTTCTGGCATATATGTGTGGCTGAGGGCAAAATGAAAAGGCTTGTACTGCAACACGTCTGGAGCAGGGGAGGCTGTCTTCTAAGGAGCCCTTTCCTTCCTTCCGTCTGCCTGCCTGTCTGCTTTCTCAAGCACGAGAATGCCCGAGGCTTCCCGGGGAGCAACATCCTTCCCTGCTGTAGGGCATTGTCTCGAGGCTCTATCTTTCTTGTGGCATCACTTGTTTCTGAAGGACCCATGCCATTTCTATTACTCCTCTTTTAATTTTTGCATAGTACCAGCTGAATTGGTTGCTAACTGCCCAAAGAGCTTTGGCTGCGGGGCATTATAAAAATGAACCTCGGCATCAGCATCCATGCCTAACTGCCGTTCTAATGGTAAAACCTCCGAATCTTGAATGTTTCTCTGTACAAATAGTTAAACCTGAGTTACTGTGTTTAATGTTGGCTCTTTTAATGCAGTCTTTTCTAGCTAGAGGCCCTCTAGATGTTTTTGCCTGTAACTCCCATGAGCTCTTGCCAGCATATGATGGGAGTGTTTTCTCTTTACCCTTCAGCTTCTGTTAAGGCATCTTTTTTATATGGTTACTTCAGGCGAACTGATCTCATTCTAATCTCATCTGTTTTACATAGTCGAGGAATAAACTGAAATGTGAAGACGGCTTCTTTGTTTGAGGAGCACGTTTTCCAGTGGACTCAAAATGTTGGCACTGCTTCTTGCGAGGCAAGTGTCGCAAGGTGAAATTCTTTGCACGTCGGTTGCACCAAAATAGTTTCTTTGTGTAGCGGATTGCTATACCGGAAGAAACGGCTCAAGGGTAATTCCGAAACTTGGGTCCTGTGTGCATTTTGCAGTGGCGGCCAGTGCGACATCTTTTTAAAATGCGTGAGTGCTGAGGAAATGGCAGTCCGCCTGGCTAAAAGCTCTTTCGAACCCTTCCTGAGAAGACCCCTGGGAGTTCATGCCACTTCAACGTACAGGGATGCCGCCTTTGTCGAGGCTCCGTAAAAGTAGGCATGTTAGTACAACCAACTGGTACTCCTGCTGGGTTCCGCTTCAGATAACGGATGATGATGCGTCCAGCTCCCAAAACATTTTGCTACGAACAGCTTGATGGCATTAAATATAAGAGCACGGAAGCACTGAGAGATAATTTTATTGTAGGCATGGAGTCTCCATTATACAGAAATAATAGTTTATTTCAGCCAATAAACAAGAATCGACAGATCACAGACCGCATCACAGGTACTACCAGCACTGCGAAGATTCACCCACAATTTGGGGGCAACGGAACAACCCAACTGCATACAGCAGGAACCTGAAGCATCTCAGGCTTGCTGCTGGGCTTGCGTTACATTTTGTTGGGTGCACATGTGTACAGAATATATATATATAGAATCTTTCTACTCAAGTATTTGCTAAAATGAACATTGGAAGCATTAAAGGCTTAAAATGTCTGGACACCCATATAGATTTAGATCTTTATATATATATATATATAGATATAGATATTTATAGATATTTATATAACAGTAAAGATATGTTTCTCATTACTACAATATAACTTGTTTTTTTAAGTTCCTTTAAATCAACTGGGAGGAAGAGAAAACCAGTTTCACTAGTCACGTCTTGATATGTGCAAGCCACAAGCTACAATAGAACAAAGCTGTGTTTTTTAAAGATGTGCGTTGGACCATTCCAGGACAGAACAGCTAAGAGGCAGATAAAGGATGGATCTCAAGAGGGAGCAGTGTTACATGTCAAATGGTGGCTTTGGACTCTCCGGGCGGGAGGGACTAGCTTTGCCAGGGCGGCTGGAATTTAAAGAAAGAAAGAGAAGAAAACACACAACACACCAAAAGAAGAAGAAGAAGAGGGAGTAGGAGAGGGACAAAAAAAGTAAACAACGGTTAAAATACGGAAAGGAATGAACATCGGAACTTAGTGTCAGGAAGACCCTCAACTGAAATCAAAAACAACAGCACCAGAATAAAAAACGTAAATTGTAAGTTGGGGAAGACTCGATGACTTACAAGGAAGATATAACCTGGCTTTCAGAGGGATGGGAGGTTGGAGATCTTGTTTTCCCTTTTCTTGCAGTTACCCCTCAGCATATACATAAAGAAACCAGTGCAGAGTATGAGTCAAGATTTAAAAGAGTGACAAATACATCCCCCGCCACATTAATACGTACCATCGGCATGCAGGTAGTAAAGAATCACCAGGATACTCGAGACATCGAACAAGTGGTGGCTATTGTAGTTGTTGGGTTTTTGTTTTTTTGTCTGAAGCACTGGTAGTTGCAATAAAACATGTACACGGCAAATTCTCCTGGAAATATTAGCTAGTCCATTTTTGTGTATGGAACAGAAGTATATTAAGCCCCTCTGGGTGTACAGAAAGTCAGTTGCAAGTACGCGTACAAACTGGCTGCTGCCAGATGCCACTGCGTCTCAACCCGCCTGTGGTACTTCAAAGAAAGGAGGGCAGCCTGTTGCCGTCGATTCCTTCCACTCGGAGATAATGACACGCTTCTTCGTCTGGAAGACTGCATCTTTCGAGAAACCCTCCCCGACCGCTGCATTGCTCCCTGCTCGCAACTGGGGCAGACGCCACCGTTCCCAGCAGTTGCACTTCAAACCAAACCCATATACCAGACGTCCTCAAGAGTGTTCAATGCTTTTGTTAACTGTCTCGACATGTATGTATCCTCATCCGGGATTGCAAACACAGAACAGAGCTCGTGTTTCATCTTAACTACAGTAGAAAAAATGGCTATGTAGCTGCTGATTGAGCACTAGACGCTACAGCTAACCAACGCAGGCAGGACACCATGTGCAGGCCAGACCAGACATTGATGCTCCTCTGACATGATGCTCCAAGGAGCCCGTGTCCTTCAAAGTTCCCCATGCCACTGAACTAGGGACTACTCTATGTTCACAAAGCGATACAGGACGCACGAGAGGAGACGAAGAAGAGCTCAGTCACTAACGAGCATTTTACGACATGTGGGTAGAATCGGAGGAAGGGGGTGAGGGTGCACTTGGTCAGAGGACTGGGGGGTGGGGAGGCGGGCAAAGGCTCAGGGCAGAAGAGCCCTGGGCAGGGTACTTGTCACCAGCTGCCTACAGGCCTCGGTTATAAATCTAAGAGGGACGGTTCAGCTGGTCGGATTATGGTGGGTCGAGTAGGTGAAGCAGGGCCCTTCCGGCTGTGGGAGCAGAAAGAGAAAAGACAAAACAAAACAAGATGAGAAGAGAGCGCACGCACGCACGCACACCGAGGACAGCATGGTGGCCGGTCACAATCGCACATGCTTCTCCACCTCACCTTGGCCGGCACCTTGGCTTTTCTTGGGTCCTGGGGAGCAGTGTAGCTCATAGTGATCACTGACGGATCGATTGCACCGTTCACTTTTATCTTTTGGAAAAGGGAAAAGGCTCCAGCACAGGACTGCAGAAGCCCCGCCAGTCCCTGGAGTTTGGTGTCGAATGTGGCGGTGGTTTGCATCTGGGAGATCTCCAGAAAGCCAAGTCTCGACGGCCAGCGAGCGGTGTCTGCGGCCCGGATGAGTGTCGAGAAGCATGGAGCACACAACCACTGTGATGCTACTGTGCCAAGCGAGGGGGGAGCGATGTCACACGGAATGAGTGGCGTCCTCTGGGAGGGGCTGTGCCAGATGCGGCCAGCTAGTCTGCAGCAGGCACAGCCCGCCCTGACAGTGACATGGGTGCCGATTTGTGCCCTTGGGGTCTTGCCGGCTAGCCCCCAGAAGCAATTTCTTCACAGATTTGGTTGCGGCAACTCTTGGCGGCTTCGCCCACCCTCGGCGCACACCGCGACAGCAGGCTGGCATGGGGAGGGCGGGTTCCAGTGTCAGCTGGCTCCTTGCCGATGGATCCGCTGTCGCGCGTCCTTCCAACCGAGAGCCACTTCACCTCGATTTGCGCCACCGGAGCTGCTTCAGGGCGAGGCAGACACCAGGGCATCTCAAGCTCGTGCCAACTTCCAGCCTGTTTGCCACCTCTCTCAGTGCTGTCACTGCCAGGTTTCTCTGCTGTTAGAGACTGCCTGTCTTCGTTACGATCTGATAATGGTCACCTTACTGTTTAACTGTGTGAGCTGCCCTGAGTAAATTGCTACCAGAGAGCAACGCAGAATATTTAAAAACAGATATTTGGAGCATTCACTCGCGTCGTCATGAGCCCTTGGGAGGAAGGTGTAGCTGAGTGGTAGAGGTCCTGCTTTCCATGCTGAAAGCACCCCAGTTTGATCTCAGCCTGTCCAGAAAGCTGCCTAACTGCCTGGAAAGCCTCAGCTGCCAGTGGGTGTTGACAATACGAGACCCACTGCCCGAGCCTGCAGATGTATCAGAAAAGCAAATCCTCACGTGGCGGTTTGCTAGGTCTGGAACCCAAGCTGATTAATGTGTGCGTCTTAGGCACCTAACCCAAAAGCAGAACTGTAGCCAGAAATTTTGCAATGAAGGGGAGTCAGCAGGGAGAGCAGACAGGGTATGAATGGACCCAATCTCTGCTGCTACCGAGTGCGTGCGTGCGTGCGTGCGTGCAGTTTATGCTGGCACTGTCTTCTTGCACACACAAGTAAAAGGGCTTTGGGTGGGGCTTGCCTTGTGAAAGGGTGGAAAGTGCAGGGGTGCAGGATGCACTCCTGAGTCAGGCTTTCTGCAAGCCCTGGTCCTGTAGCTCCGGCCCTGGCTAGAAGCAGCTCTTCTGAGCATTACACAAAGTGCAGACAATAGGACATGGACCCTGCATGGAAAGCGCGTTGAGTTTGTTTGAGAAGAACGGGTGACGGGGGCCATCTTTTAGCATATGACTACCTCAGCCTTCACACTGTGGGATGCTGGCTAAGATGGCTGGGGATTATGGAAGCTGCAGTCCAACACATCCGCAGGGCCCTACGGTGTGAAGGCCGTGCTAATGGAAAGCCTGATTTGCTCGCTCCGTTGCAGAGAGCATACAAGTGCTAGGAAAATATATGAGCCTGCCCTGCTTTCATGTTCGTAACATACATCGGCCCCCACGTCCTCTGGGGGATGCCATCCCCAGTGGAGCAGTGGGACAAAACCAACAAAGGCGTGTGAGCTTCACGGCCCTGACGGCTTCCAGGCAAGCTCCTCTGGCACGTCGCAAAATCCAAAAATGCCTGTTCCCGGTTTCCTCAACGTTCTTCGAAATCCAGGCTCTAGACTGCCAGAGCTTCCTAACAGCGAGTCCCAGAAGGAAGCGAGGGCCACGACCTGGCCACCTCAACAAGGCCTATGCCAAGTAACCGTGCATCTGAAAGGAAGCTGGACAGCCACCTCTGAGCCATGAACAAGAAGGACTGAATGGAAGCAGGAAAGAGATGGTTTTCTCAAAGCAACACAGACACTACCAAGCAGCCACTGCGATGGAACACTGACGGCCCCCGGAGCTGTGCCATGCGCCTCAACAGCACACCCTTGCCACTTGGCACGAGCCAGCTACAAGTTCAATGGGTGTGAATGACGACAAATGTGTTGAGGACTAGCAGCTTCACCCGACTACCATTGGCCTCTCCTCATTCTCTGTTTTAAGTGATCCACGTCGTGAAATGTGAGTGACCCCGTGGAAGATCGCACTGCAGGACCCTACAGCTCCTTGCAGAGGTGTCCACCACACCTTGACTTTTTGTGTGTTACATCCAGGAATTGGAACCAGCTCTGCTCCCACTGTGAAGCCGCAGCACATGTTTAATGTGGCCCAACCGTTAAGCCAACAAACCAAGCTTGCACTTGCTGGTTGTGGAGGTGTTCATCCTCTCGGCTGGGTCATGCATAAAGAAGCTCTGGGCCACTCCACTACCTCCCGGAATCACACACGGTTCAGTGGCTTAATACCGTCACCCTAGTGCAATTCCAGTGCCGTGGGGTCTTGGCTGACATGGATGTTTCTTGAAAGCCCCAGGGTTGGTTGGATAGCATCTCTAAAGAAAAAGCAAGGGCCTAGCAAGACAACCCTGGGAAAAGTTATGCAGAAGCACCAGTCAGGGCTGAATTGTACGAGGACCCTCCCCGCCAACTACGAATGTCCCCCGGAGGACCATTGTCCGTGAACCGAGGGCACATGGCTCCACCAAGCCGAATGACTGAGTAAGGAAGGTGTTGGCCAGAGAAGCACCCAAAAGGCCACTGCGTAGCTCTGAAGGAGCTGGAAAGACCTGCAGCTGAGGTGCAAGGAACTGTCCGCAGGACAACCAGCACCCGGACACTCCAGAACGCTGGGCCTTGTGTAAGAGCGGCGAGAAGAAAGCCATTGCTGACACATCCACAACGTGAGAGTTTGCAAGCAGGCATGTGGGAGTCGCAGTCGACATGGAGAAGAGGTCCTCCGCTCCGATGAGGCCTGGCCTGGCCCTTCTGCCTTTGCTGCAAAGCACTGTGTGTGGGCACAAAGCCAATGGAGCTCAGTGCCCTGAGACCACCATCCCCACTGTGAGGTGCAGCTGGGGGTGCTTTTCCTCAGTGAGGACTGGGAAACTGGTCAGGACTGAAGGCAAGATGGAGTCGAATGCAGGGCACTGCTAGAAGAAAATCCCGTGCTGTTCTGTAGCGGCCTGTGACAGGAGTGGAGAAGGGCCCTAAAGACGCTGCTCGAAAACACGGGAGTAATGGAACAACAAGAGCCTGGAAGTCTTCGAATCCCCCATCTAAGCCCAGGAATCTGTGGCCAGACTCAAAGATAGCTGCTCCCTGATGTTCCCCATCCAGCGTCACTGGCCTGGAGCAGTTCTGGCAGGAAGGAGGGACAGCCTCTGTAGGATCCAGGTGTGCAAAGCTGACAGGGACTTCAGCAAGAAGATGCGCAGCTGGAATGGCTGCCAAAGGCGCTTCTGCCAGAGGTGCAGAGGGGTGAACATATAATGCAACCAAAAAGTGCCCGTTTGATTTTGCCAGCTTTTGTGCCACAAACAAACAAAGAAACATGTTTTGCAGCTGCAGAGTGTTGAGCATCTTGGGTCCCTCAAGTGGTAACAACGCCAACTCAATCCAGGTCGTAACATCACGAAATGCAGGGAAGTTGACGTGGGGTGAACACCTCTGGAAGGCCCTGCAGCTGATTAGGTCTCTCCTCTCCAGCAGAGGGCTTTTTGGCATTTCTCATTCCTACACAGCCACAAACAGCTTCACACTCTGCTTCCTTCCCACGATGCGCTGCCCTCTGCTACCCTCCCACTTCCATCTGCACGTCTTTGTGGAGCTCTTCCCTTGTGCATTAAAGAAGAAGGGGAGACTGAGTTCATTTTAAACATTCTGCATCTTGGTAACAGGACAGAAGAACTGCTCAGCAGAGCAGGGCGGAAAGGCCACAAGGTAACACGCCCCAGCCCTGTCTCCAAGGTCCTGCCAGCAGCGGCCTCTTTGTTCCCTGCCTTTTCTTTCTCGACTCGCTGGCTTGCTCCATCTGGTGATAGCAGCCCGCTATCCTGTGCTTACAGTTGGGGATGCTGGTGGGGCCTCACCCGTGCTTGGAGCGGCTCAGAGAAGGGGCCCACCAAGGACAAGCATGACAAGTTAAAGGGGAGCTGCTTTGAGGAAGGACACAAGGACGAGTGCCATTTCCCCTAAATAGCAGCTAAGCTGATGGATTTCAGTCCTGGTGGTGGGGGGGGGGGAGTCTTTCCCCTCTGGAGGGCCCAGACTTATGCCTGGAGGGAGGATAGGAAGCCAGGGTGCAAAGCCCGTATGTGTGCTGCACGAGACCACAACGAAGAACTGGAGGGCCACCCAGTGTGAGGGAGATACGGCACTGGGAGGAGGGTAAGTCAGGGAAGGGCAAGGCAGCTCAGACAAGCCATGGTGCCCCAGTGGGTTCCAGCCCTCCTCACACCTGCAGGTTTGGCAGTTGCCCTGTCAGCCTGCTGGCAAGTTGCTGGATGATGCTTTGAAACACCCAGTCAGTCCGCTGAGGCAGCTGCTCTGCCACGCATAGCACACTGGGGTGGAGGCATGGAGCGGTTAGTCTCCCCCAGGACAGCATGCTCGGGAAGAACACCCATCGCTCTGCAGGCCCCCGGGCTGACGAGCATTCTGGAGGGCTTGCAGCCAGTGCTGACACGCACGGCTCTCCCTGCAACCCATCAGTCTCTGTACCTGAGCTGAAAGAGGTGGCACTGAAGGGGAGGTTGCGGGCCTGCAGGCTGTTGTTTTAGGGGAGGTCATCCTGCATAGCAAGGGCACCTTGTCTGGGCTCAGGATTTCATGTGCTCAGCGACAACCACGGGACTGCACCAACATGTCAACATGTGGAAGGGCACGCTCTGGACGAGTGGAATGGGGAGAGCATTTGGCCAGGCATGAGAATGGTATTCTGCGGTGGGGTCTTCAATTTAGTTCCCTTCCCATGGTCAGGTTACTGCCTGCTGAGATTTAGACGAATGGCAGCCTTCCCCTGCTGCTGGGGTGGGGGCCGTTGAGACGGTCCACCCCCGGGGCCAAGGGTTACAGGTGGCTTCAGCAATGACTCGGGCAGTGGGCGCAGTCTGTCCCAGGCACCCTCCCTGCAGTGGAGCTCATACAGCTCTGGGATCCGTGCCGGTGCTGGGCCTGATGAAACGGCTCGGGAGATGGCTGGAGTGCAGGCGACGGAAACTCCTGGCATCTAAGCCCAGGCGGCGGCCTCCTACCAGGCGCACCGGAGGCAGCGAGGGCAGTGCCAACACAAGCTCTCGTCATCCCTGTTCAGTCTTGTCTTTGCTGCCCAGCTGAGCTGCTGCAGGGTCAACCAAGCCTATTACACCTGGCCCTGAGGCCACACTAGGCCCCTCTGGGTCCTGCTGAGGCGCTTGCTAGGCGCTTCCAGGATAATATCCCTTGCATCCATGTTGTAGCTTAGGGCCCCACTGTTGTAAGAGCTGAATCAGGTGAAGGGCCCCGAAGCCCAGCCTGGTCCACTTTTTAGATGAGCTCCAGCAGGTGCGGCTCAAAGACACTGACCAGCTGCTTGGAGGGGGTCATGCAGCCACTTTTGCACTGGATCCTTGCTCATCCTACCTTTTTTTATTTTTTCATAAAGATTTTAATTAAGATTTTAAACTAAAAACTAAAAAACATCAATCATCAAATACATCGGACATACTGGGTCAGCCCCCTATAACATATCTTTTTAACATTCTATAATCATATTCAAATCGATTTACAAAAATTTAAAAACATCTTTAAATCTAAGCCAAGTCCCGCTTCTCTAGCCAATCATAAAAAAGGCCCCAAGTTTGATAGAAGGCTCCTCCTGCCTTATAAAAGCTATTGGGGTGGGAATAACCGGCCGAATCAAAGAAGTGATTGAGGCAAGTCAGAGTGAAATGGGGCACTGAGCTTGCCCCTGAGGAAGCCCCCCCCCCCCCCCCCGGGCCCAAGAACCTTAGGCTAGTGGCAAATGTTCCTCTTCTCAGTGAGGTCCAGACTGGGAAGGTGTGAGGGGAATCAGGCTCGGGAGTAGGAACCTGTCAGATTCCCTGGGCTTGGCTCCCCAGGCTGCAGTCCACTTTGATGTGGCTGTGAGTTCAAGTTCCTGACTCCAAAGAGAATCCCTTTTTAATCAGATTGCTTCCTTAAAAAATGAGGAATAAATGGCTGGCCAGGTCCCACCAGCTTCTTATTCCAATGCTGCAACAGGTGGGAAACTACTGTGCCTACTTGCAAAGACAAAGACATCTATGGACGTAAGAACTAATACAAGAGGCAAGTGGCAGGACGGGGGTGGGATGGGCAGGTGTGGTGGGAGGAATCACACTAACACTGAGTCATGCATCACCGGAGGCTCGGGGGGCTGGGATGCGGGCATGTGAAGAACGTACCGTAGCTGCCAATCCTCAAGGGTCACTGATAGTGATTCTGAAAGACAACACGAGAGCGACACGGCTGTTCAGACAATTGGAGGCAAGAGGCCACGCGGCTTGGGAAGTGAGGATGTGAGTGTTCACACACGCACGCACGCACACACACAGGCGCTTGTGAGCGAGCAGAATGGTCCATGCTTGCACTCACAATGGCACACACACAGCCAAGAGAAGATGGTAGAGACCTTAGCTTAGCCATGGCTGCACAAACTCCCATCTGTGATCAGACCCGCAGCTCACACAGCTGCGTACTTGCAACACAACTGCAGCCTCGGCCGGCCGTGCCCGGTGCCGCACGGACAACTCAGCACTGCGCATTGGCCTCACGGGACATTCACCCAGACACAGCAGTGCAGGCTTGCGCAGAGGGCTACGCACTAACTCCCCCTCAGTACACTCTGGTGAGGTCCGCCTGCCACAGAAAGCAACCCCACGGCTGCACACCCACGTTCCTCCCTGCAGGAGTGGCTGTGGGCTGCTCTGCTGCTTCCCTGCAACTCCACTCTGCCACCAACACCGGCGGGCAGCTGCGACCCCAAGAATGGCTTCTGCTCAGCAAGCGGGCCCAGCAAGTTTACCCAGTTCACCTTTTTATTCTGCATCTTCTCAAAGAAAGGTAGTGGGACATGGCTTTTAACTCCAAACACTGCTCTAAGAGAGGAGGTGCAGCTTTGCAGCGGCACTCTGCACATCCAGGTGGGGAGAGAGGGACTGTGATGGATACATCCTGGTTACAGCCGGGCCAATCAGCCCTCCAAGCAGCCGGATTCTTCTGGGGCCCCGCGGAATGGCACACTCCAAATCCAATACATTTTGGAAACCCAGAATTCTGGCTCCAAAACAGGAGAATCCACAGCCAGCTCTGCACACAGGCTAAATGCTCTCACACAACAAGCTGCACCGGTTACACTTTGCACGTGTTCACATACACACGTGCAAAATCTTGACACAGTATAATGAAGTCTCTTTGTCTGTCTGTCTGTCTCTCTCTCTCTCTCACACACACACGCACACACACACTTCCTTTCAGGCCATGAGGCTGATGCCCATTTCTCTACCCAATCTGGAAAAATCAGATCCTTTTGTGTAAGAAAAGAAGGCAGGGGTAAAGAAAGAACACAGAACACATGAAGATGGCGCTCTGTGCACTTGGGGCAAGAGGAGTGTAGCTGAGCCACCAAGTGTGAGCTGTGCTATTCTATATACAAGAGATGGCGCGTGCCACCTGAAGCCACAGGCCGGTGCAGAAAGGGCCTCTTTGGAAGCAGCATGCTGACAACTGGGGGAATGGGAGAGCCGGGGGCCAGTGGGTGAGGAGGAAAAGAATTTGCACACTCAGGGGAAACTCTTCAGGTTGGGATCTTCAAGATGATCAACAAGGAACGTTGCATACCACCTTAAAATGAGCAAAGTTATTACAGCATAAGCTTTCATGGACTTAGTGCACAAAAGCTTCTACTATAATACTTTTCTAAATCTTTAAGGTATCACAAGACCCTCGGTTATTTTCATTTTAGGAGGTAAGATGACTACCCCTCTGTAAGGTGCCAAGATCAATCCCCGACATCTCTGGACAGGGCTGGGAAAGACTCTTGCCAGTCGGGGTTGACAGTACTGGTCTACATGGACCAAGGACCTGACTCGGGGCACAACAGTGTTGTCAGAATGGTGTGTAGTGCGTTCCCCTGAGGATTAATCTGACGGGGTCATCAGATTAGGTGTGGTCATCACCCACTCTCGGACGGGAAGGGCTGCCACGTCTCAGAGCTTAGCTTCCCTCCAGCTTTGGCCCTGGCTCTGGCTGCACAGCAGTCTGCAAATCTGCCAGTGATTCGGGAAGACAGGCGAAGGTGCAGAGCTCTTCTGTGTGATGGCAGGAATGACTGTCCTTCCAGAATCACATCACAGCCTCTGCTGATGCTAGAAACAGAGGTGAAAGGGGTGTTCTGGTACTGATGCTGCAACCTAGAGCCGCCTGCCTGCACTGGGCCTCTTAGTAGATGGGCAAGAGGCAGGATTTGTGGCCTGAGCCCCTGGACAGCAGAAGTCACACATGTGGCAGGTGAGAGGAGACACAGCCACCCCTCGAGACCCCTTCTTTGTTGGAGGCCCTGAGGAAAAAACAATGTGGGCACAGATCTCAAAACATTCTCTTGTCCACCTGTGGCAAACTTTTATAAGGGGCGTTTTTGGAGGGGGACAAAGAAGAAAGAAAGCAAAACCCCTTCATGGAACAGGGCTCTTGCCAGTATATAGAATATATCACCCATGTGAGTGAAGGAAGGGAACAAAGGAAAGCACGAGGAGAAAGCGGATGGTGACAGAAGAACAGCACCTGAGGCCCAGACAGAAAAAGCACAGCCAAAACAAAAGGAAAATGATAAAGGCACTCAGAGGGAAAAGGAATGGAGACGGTGGGAGGAGTGGGAACAAGATACGGCAACAGCCAACACCGGCACATGCTGACGACTGCTGGCCCCGGCAGCAAGGTGGGGAGGCCCCTGCAACTGGGCCCTGCATGTCAGCAAAGCCACGGAAGAGCCAAGGAGCAGCAGCAGGGGTTGAGATGGCCACTGCGCACCAAAGGACGGATCGTTTTCCAGCAAACACGGATGCCAACGTCCTGCTCCGGGCTCCTCCATTCCTGCTCCTAACCTAGACAGGCAGAGCGGTGCCACACAGCAACAGCAAGGCCCGTATCAGCATCTGGCATCTTCCAGCCAGCTTTCCAGGGCCAGGACCAACTGAGGTTGCAAGTCAGAACTTGCGGCCTGTTGGCTCTTCTGCCATCTACCACCGAACATTGTATGTTGCTGATCTCAGATAACGGACCACAGGCCTGGCTCCTTCTCAGAGAGGGCTGCTTGTGGAATACTCCAGTGCCCATCGAGTGATGCAGAAAACAGTCAAGGACAGTGAAGTCCTTATGCTGTGTGGCAGTTTCATAGGTCAGGATTTTTTAAAAAAATACCCAGCTGCAGGCACCCACAAACCACTGAGAAGCAGTCGGCAGATTTAGGAAACAAAGCTTTCACTCTAGACTTGCCTGCAGCTCCACCTGAGATACACAGCCCTCCGCAACAGCTGAAGGCAAATCGGAGCAATGCACAGGCTGCTCCACTAAACAAGAGTCGAGACCTTTTGCTTTCAACTACTGCGAAATTGCAGCAAACAATACTTAGTGGGTTCCCCGGACATTGTCTGCAAGAACCAGCGCCAGGAACGAATTCCGTTATTTTAAAAGCACAAATACAAACATGTTGGCCTATGAAAAAAAGGATCTAAAAGGATCTATACTTTAAGACAACGCCAGACAGAGCTCTCTCAGGGAATGCAATACCAAAACAAAATCTGTATGGACAATCTGCCAGCACAAATTCTCCACTTCAGCTGTTTGAAATAAAGTGGTTATCCTAGGATTCAGATACATTAACATTCAGTAGCAAAAAGGGAGCCTCCGCATGCATAAAACTGATAGTTTAACATCAACACAACCCCAGCTACAACATTCCCAAATGCTGATATTTGAATGGCAGTGCAAAATATTTTTGTATACAGTGTGTTGCTTGATTCAGGTTTCATTATCCTTTGAGAAGACTTAAGTGGGTCTTATTTCCACCAGGTTCAGGATGAGCTACTTTTCAGGAAAGTATATGATAGTCCATATTTTCTTAGGAGTAGACCCTGCTGGACTTGGTACAGCTGCTTTCCAAGTAAGCATCCACACAAAGTATGTTTTACTTGATAACACTGGCAAACTCTCCTTTCTGGCCAGCAAGAAAGATCTTCATGTGGAAGCAAGAGACGGGGCAGGGCAGAGCTTACGTTCCCCCAGGGAGACCTATGGAAAGGGTTCTGTCTTGACTGGTGTGGGGAGTTTCATTTCTGCAGCACTTTCTAGCTTGAAGCTTCATTGCAGTGATGTGATGATTTGGGAAACCTCTAAACCAACGTAGAATTCTCTCGGATAGGGAACATGGCATATGCTTCTACCTGAAGTGTTCCTATGTCGGCGGAGTGCTGCTCATATAAGAGAACCCTCACATTTTAGACCAATTCCGACTTCCTCCATTATTGGCAATCTTACAGCAGAAGAGAATGGAAAACTCATAGCATTGCATCTTTGGACAGAAAAGGGCCTATAACTCCCAGCATGCACAGCATCAAAGTTATAGGTCCCTTTTCTCTCCAAAAGCTCGGCCCTAGGAAGTTCTTCAAATCTTCTCTCAATATGGCACAAGGAGTTCTTCCTCTCCTGCATCTTGCCTCTCGCTTTTCTGTTTAATACCTTCCAACATTACCTCTTTAGTCAGTAAGGTCATTCCTAGGTCCTAAATTTCATATTCCCCAGCTGCTCCAAGAGGGGAAAAAAACCCATAGCTTTATAAAATCCTTTCTCAAGAGCAGTAATATAAGTGGCGACAAGGCTCACAGCGAAGCAGTGCTGGGACTTTTTAATTAGCAGGATACTGATGCCCTTCCATTACTTGCCATTCACTTTGCACTTCGCTGTAGTCCTCCAATAACTGGGGAGAGATTATTTTTTCCCAGCAATTATATATTGCTGTAAGCATTCCCTGCTGTAATGCAAAGCACTCTGTGCTAGCCTCAAATGGACAATTAGGACCCAACAGTTTTATAAAAGACACTTTCCTGTAGAGAAGGAAATGGCTAGACTTGGTGTGCTGCATCTGCCTACACTTTCAGGAATGTCATCGTGAGCCCCGGCCTTTCAGCACGTAGCAATATGCTACAGTCCCAGAGAAAACATCATCATACAGGAGATAATGTACAATCAGAGGGGGGATTCCATTACAGATCTCGAGCACCTTCTTGCCAAGAGAAGAAGGGTACTTACAGCACAAGCCTAACCGTGTTCATTCCGAAGTAAGCTTCCCCGGGCCTTGCTCCCTCGTCAGTGGCCTTAGCTCCACAGCCCCTGAGCCACTGATGCTCAAAGCCTTTCCGCCCACTGCTTGGCCACACTTACCTGGGGACACCAGGCGGTGCACGGTTGGGCCGAGATGGAACCTGTGGGGGAGGCCCAAAAGGATCCGGGGAGGCACCTGGCCTAGAGGGCACAGGAGGTGCACCACCCAGAGTGGGACCACCAGCAGGCGGCGGTCCAGGCGCTGGGCCTCGTGATCCAGGTCTCGCTGGAGGCACTGCCGGAGCTCTCCTCTGCGGAGTAGGGCTGGATGTGGGAGACCTGCCAGGCAGAGAGGAACTCGGTTGCAGCAGTGGCCAATGGGCGCACAGCACAGCGGGGCTTCACGCAAGCTCCTACATGCTCCCTCCATGGGCCCTTCAGGCTGGAAGCAAAGCCACGCAAGAGAGTTGGAAGCCGTCTGAGTGAAGGCGCAGGCACCTGCTTTGCGTCTCACTGCCACCCACAAAATAGGTTACGGGGAAGCAGGCGAGATTTGCAGGCACGGGGGAAAACGCTGCAGAAACGGCGGACCTCTCATCCACGTCGTCCGTAACACAGCCTCCTTCAAACCACCTTCAACTCTCTGCAACCCACCCTTCAGCCAGCTCGGTCCGTCTCCAGCATGAGGCTGCACAGACTTCAAGCGCCATCCAAGTTCCCACTCCCCCTACATGTGCGCAGCTGCCACTGCGCAGGATGTGAATGCTCTGGCTCCCTTCCTTCCCGTTCCAGCAGGAGACCCCCATCTTGTTGCTAAAGAGGCAGCCGGAAGGTCTGCGGAGGCCTCCCTCTAAGCCCCGGGTACCTGCGTCCAGACGGTATGTTCTGCACCTGCAGCCAGGAGTCGTCCACCGGTGGGGGCAGAGGAGTGCTGATGGTCGTGGTGTTGATGTCCCCGATGATGTGGAGCGCCTCCTTCAAGGCGTGGTACATGCGCAGCATCTCGTCGCGCCGCTGGGCTTGCTCGGCCGATTCTTCCATGAGGGTGTTTTGGTCTCCACAGGAATACAGGTTTGCCAGCAGTTCTGAATGGATAAACTCCTTTGTCTAAAAAGGTTAAAACACAGGCCGTGACCCTCAGAGGAGTCCTCTGCTACAGATGCTTGTTTTATTTATATGAAATTGTTTTAGTTTAAAAAATGTAACATACACGCACAAGCCTTCTGTTATATTTTACCCCATGTCAACAAATATTTGAGCTCCTAGGAGAGGGCCCTTTTCACTTGCTAAAATGTCCCACCTTCCTGCACAGAGCTCCAGATGGTGAGCACAGCTCTCTCCACCCTGTTCCACACACACAGCACCTGTGTGAAATAGGTTAAGCCAAGAGATCCTGACCTGACACAGGCAACAAAGTAAGTGTCGAGGCTACCAGGAATTTGAGCCTGTGTCTCCCAGACTTAGCTCAGCTCTCTGACCACTACACCACACTAGCTATCTGCTGACTAAGGCTTTGGAGACTGGAATCCCCAGGCGAGAACCTCGGAAGCCCCAGGGCTGGGATCTCCAAACTTTCAGGATTGCTAAGCTTATGGCTGCTCTAAGGGCTTCCATGGAAGGAATGGCCAGTCAAAAAACACTCATTTCCCAGAAGGCACAATGGAGAGACTGAAAGAAAAGTAACTTGCCCAGGAACTGAAAAAGAAGGCCAGGTGGGCTCTGCATCCTAGAATACCCATTTGATCTCAGATAAAGATGGTGCTGAAAGGCAGGACTTTGCTTTGCACTATGGCAATCTCCTAGTTAAACAAAATTATGGAGAACCATCTTAAGGGCTAGTATTCAATCCAGAGGGGCAGGGAGCTTGAAACAGGCTTTCATGCCTGAGAGCAAATCTCCCCAAGCTGGTGACCGTGGAGATGCAGCTTCACGAGCTGGCTCAGTAGCACACATACATTGTTAATCATGAGGTGCATGATGGTCTTCGGCATGAGGTCGCGGACAGTCTTGTTGACGATGGCCATGTAGGAGTCCACAAGGTTCCGGATGGTCTCCACTTGTCTCTCCAGCTGAGGGTCCATGGAATGCATCAAGCTGTCGGAGCCATTCTCTTCTGACTCGCCGGACTATGGATTGGGTTAGAGAGGAAAAGTGCACAACTTTTAACAGGACACCCGCCCACACCCCCCACTTCGGTGCCAGAAGGCAAGAGGGAGACCCTGGGGAATGTATGTAACAATGCTGAAAGAAACAGAACATGTTTTTAGAATCTCTCCGTCACCCCACCTATAACTAAACAGATCCAGGCCAAACTTTCCTGGGCAGTTCTTCTGAATTCCAGCCCAGAATATAAATACATATGTAGCGTAAGGTAGACAGGCAGACAGATGGGTCCTGCATACCAAAAAGAGGAAGCACTGGGAACCCTCTGAAGTCAGAGCCTCCATCTGTTTTTGTAATATCTGGAAGGTGGCGTCACCCTCCCTCCAGGTGCGCCAGACCTCAGGGCCCAGCATTCCTGATTGGCTGTGCCCACTAGCGCTGCTGGGAGTCCTGCCCAACACACCTGGAGGGCACCAAGCGCAATACTGCTTTCCTTCTGGTGAAGCAAGCAGACTTGACCTTGGCTGTGTTTCCTTCCTAGGCAATGCTGCCTCAGAAGTCACAAGGGCAGCTTGGGCATCCCAAAGCTCCATGCAGCTTCATGCCAAGAGCTGACTGGGCAGCACGGAAGACACCCAGGACACCGTCTGTCAGTGTGAGTGTGCTTGTGTGTAAGTGTGTACAGTGTAAGGCCAAGCAGTCCTGAAGTGGAAGAGGTACAGTCTGTCATGTGCCTACACAATGCTCAGACCACTCAGAGCAGGAGCCACTGGGAACTACATAATCTTCCTGACCTGAGGTGCTTTCTTGACACCTGCAGTGGGAGAGACGGGAAACCCCTCGTCTTCACTGAGTCCTAAAAGCTTGCCGATAAACTCTGGATCAGCAGCTGACTCGTCGACTTCTGCCAGCTGAGCGGACACTTCACGCATGCAGTGCAGCAAGCTCTGGTCCACTGCCACAAAACATTTGCTAGTCCCTGAGTGGGATGAGTTCCCACCCTGGTTTGGATGAGAACTCCCAGAATCCCTGGCCATTGCCCATGCTGACTAGGCCTTATTGGAGTTGTAGTCCAAAATATCTGAAGGGCACCAGGTTGCCTCCTTTTAGTCTTTAGGGGGCCATTCCACCCCTTTTCCATTTAGATTATTCACAGGACATCACGATGAAGGCATCCCTGGGGCCTCCAAAATGGATGACCTGGGGAATTGAAAATCAGGACAGCGCAATGCAAAAGAAGAAGTAAAAGATGAAAGTAATGGGGGGGAGATGAGGGACAGAGGCATTTTGATACAGCTGAGTGAACAAATTCTGAAGAAGGGAAGCTCAGATGAGTAAAAGGAAAATCAATGAAAGAAAGGGAATAAATACATGGACAATGTGGCAGAAAAGGTACAGAGAAAGGGGAAAAGAAGATGCGTCGCCTGGGACATGGAAACAAAAGGAGATTTAAAAAAAGCAAGAAAACAAAATGAAAACAAGCAATTGAAATGATGAGATTCCCACCACATGGGCAGAGCAGGAAGAGCGGCTGTCACTTACTTTGTCTTTGTCCTGGAGAGCCAGTTTGAGCACAAAATGCAAAAAGGGGGAAAAACAAAAAGAAGAAGAAAAAATGACGATTTTTTTCCCCAAAAAAAAATCTCTGTATTTTACTTTTGCATCATCAGGCGCAAATAGGAACCTAGTACAGCCGTGGAAGAAGAGCAAACCCTCAAAATCACACATGTTGAAAAATCTGGGGGACATGGTAGGTCGCTGAACCAATACACACAACTGAAATAGGAAGTCTGCAAAGCAAGGAGAGTCAAACTGACTCATTAACTACAGATTGTTGGAGCAAATTACTTACCAGTAGTGACAAAGCTTCTTTTTTTTTTTTAATGCACCAGTCCTGACATGGGATCTAGTGCAAACAGATTGCCCAGGGAACTAGACCTAGGGGGAGACCGTCCATAAAGTAGACCAAGGGAGGTGAAAGAGGGAGCAAAGGCCTGTTGATCAAAGCAGGGCAAAGCTTGAAAAGTACAGAATGGGTTAAAAAAAAGGTTCTTAAAGGCAGAATACAGCTCCATGATAGACCCAGAGCACAGAGTCGTAATATTTCCACCAAATCACCAGCAGGTGACACCCTTGTCTCTAGGTTGGTCTACACAATATGGTCATTGAATAGCAATCAAAAGGTGACCAGGTGATTTGGTCTGCCTGGGAAGAGCAGGGTGTGTCTGCACGTGCGTGCGTGTGTGCGTGCGTGTGCACGCGCATCTGAAGTATGGAAAGGACATGGGAGAAGGGTGAGGAAGCAGCACTACAAAGAGATGGAATTCGGGAACAGTTGATACAGAGAAGATGTTCCATTGCTTATCCTGGGTACTCGATATTTCCTTCCAGCTCAAGCAGGAGAAAAAGTAGCTCCTCCCTCCCATTTCATTCTGAAACCGCCCCCCCCCGCCCCCAAACACACACGGTCCTGGCCTCGCTTCCCCTCCTGATGAGCAGGTCTCCAACTGAACTAGCAGGACCATGGGTGGAAGGGGCCATGCAGCCTTCTCTTCTGTCCCTCCCGGCAGGAGTGGCTGAAAGGGCGTTATCTGTGTAAGACTTGGCAAGCTTAGGTCAGGGTCAGGTATGGAAAGGAGCCTGGATCGCAGGTGAAGTAGACTGGAGTGAGCCACTGGTGGCTTCCAACTCTCACCACCAGCCCCGGCCTCCAATGGTGAGGGGAGTCATGGGCCAAAATGCCTGGGAAGCCAACTCACCCCAACACGCTCCGGGTACACTCCTGCACGCAAGAAGGAGGCCTTCCAGCTGTCGACCTCCTCTTGGGTCTCGCACGCCAGCTCCAGCTGTCGATAATCTTTATAAACATTCCTGGAGGGAAAGCAAAGCAAAGGAAAGGAAAGCTGGCATTGCTTTTCCTACTGGCCCTTCTCAGCAGACATGGCTAGAAGGTCCTGCCTAAAGGCCAAATCCTGCCCTGTCCTTGGCCCACCCCCAGGACAGAGAAAGGCTGGCACCTCTGCTCAGTGTTGAAGAGGGCAAAGATGTGCTTGCTAGACATGAAGCTCTTCTCGATGTCCCGCACCTTCAGGTTGTCCACCGGCAGCATATACTTCTTCTCCTTCTCCTGAAAGGCACAAAGATCCGCGATCAGGCTTTTCCTCAACTGTTAGGGTCTCCTTACTCCTTTTATTTTTTATTTTTAAAGATTTCTTGTTAATTCAAAAAATGTTAACTGACAGGGCATCATCTGGCTTCTTCTCTGCCTTGTACATAGATTTTTGGATAAGCAGCTCACCGGTTTGTCTTCTGGAAAATGGGCATTTTACACCCTGCCAAGCCCATGGAAGGGTTATAAATGGCAGATAACCATGCCTCAGGGACTCTCATAAAATTCCATGAAGAAGGCAGTGCAATTGCAGAAGAATAGCTTTGTCTGGAAGCAGCCCAGTCATTCTTTTCGACCAAAAGAGAATGCTACTCAGAAACCACACAGTGTCATGATCAGTGGTGATGTTCTGATTAAGCCCCAAAACACATCTTTCTGCGAACATGCTGAAAATCCAGGGCGATTACTGGTGTTGTACAAGTGACCTAGAGGGGGAACCATTCTTCCAAGAAGAGGGAGTGATGTTCCCATTTGCACAGAAATTACCCTGTATACAACTGTGGCTGTCTGGTATGTGTATCGAGTCAGCATTGCCTGGAAAGATGAAGAAATGTGGTCTCTTACAGTGGGAAGGAAAATGGAAACGGTGGGTGGCAGGGCTGTCCTCAGATCGCAAAATCTAACTAAAGAGCATGGCAGGAGGAGACCGAGCTGTGTATAATGCAGTTCGGGCAGCCTGCAGTCCTTATCCAGCAGAGTCAAAGGGTGACAGTCCGTTTAATCTTTTCTTCCACTGCTTCCAAAGAGTAGAATGAAAGTGCTCACAGGAGATTAAAGGAAGCGACCAGGTACTGATCTGTTAGCTGACTGGATGCCCTCCAGAGGTTTCGGTGACCACTCCCATTGTCCCTGACCCATTGTCTCTGCTGGTGGGGCTCTTGGAGATGGATCTTCTTATATCTGGACAGCACCACATCAGGAAAGGTTGATCTACACAGCTGATCTACTATTACTCTGGTGGGTTTGAATACGCCCAATTTTCTTGTGCTCCTGGCATACAGGCACTTGTGCCATAAGAAAACATGTCAGTCAGAATTAGGAGTGGCAGAAAAGGTAGGAGGACAACAGTGACAGGAGTAGAATGGGAGACATACATCCTCCCACTGCCCCGGCACACTCCCAAACACACAGTGCCAGACAGTGACTGAGTTCAGGCAACACAACGACCCACATTCAAGGGCTGATTCTCAGTTAAGTGCAGCTATCACAATTGTGGGGTGTTGTTGAAATGCAGATTATCATGTTGCCTGGACTTGGACAAGATAACGGACAATGACGAACAACCCACAGTTCGCAAACCAACAATAAATTCTTCATGGGTTGTTCATAGTTAACAAGCCATGGTTTGCTATCTTGGCTAGGTTCAGACAACTCGATAACCCAGAGTTCAATAACAACCCACACCCGGCCACTAAGTTTGGGTTATTATGCTGCCTGAACCAAGTCACCAGGTGCAAACAAAGGATCTTCAGCCAGCTGTACGGCAACTGTTAGCTTTTAATTAGAAAGTCAAGCAATTCTACTGAGAAGTATCCCTCTTTAAACGGCTGGTGCAGTGTCCTTATCTGCAAGGCTGTTTGCCAGTCCTCCTCTCATTCCTTCTCCCACTCTCCCTCCCTCTCCTTGGCAATGACTGCTTGTTTGCAGCAGCGTCTCTGAAGCTTTGCCCGTGCTGCCGGGTTGCTTTAGCAGTGGGCCAGTGACTGTGGGCTTGGCGGTCAGAAGCCCTGCTGCTCAGCTGCTGTAAGATGGCTAGGAGGAAGAAGCAGGAAAGAGGAGCACCCCAAAGCAGCCTGCCGGTTGGCCGTGGCTTCTGCTTCAAAAACAGCAGGAAACGCTGGGATACCCCCTGTCCTTTGCCTCATCCGTGGACTTCTGCTAGTGTTGATCAGTCTGAAAGCCCCTGTTATCACCTCATTTGTGCACTGGGACAAGGAGGGGCTGCAGGAAACAGCGTTCACACTCCTGCCCTGGTAAAAAGCCCCAAGGCTGCCCTCCTACAGTATGTACCACCAGTGCTAAAATATGAGGCTCCTCCAAGATCTAGTAGCCACAGAAAAGGGAGCATCGACATCTGAGCACTCGAGTCCCCTTAGTTCTTGCCGCCCCTCCTTTAATATGGGAAGCTCAGAAGAGAGAGGATCATTCTTGCATATGCACATGAAGAGGCCCTCGTTCTGCCAACAAGCCACAGGGTCTTCAGACTGTGCAGCGGGAGTTTAAAATGCTACATTGTGGTTCCACCGTCAGTTCCTTCCAAACACTTCCCCGTTGTGTTAGAATGCCTGCCAGGAGGCATGGGTCTGGAAATGCCGTTTATCCCACAACCCATTCACCATTTTAGAAACGTGGAAGCGGGTGGTCTCTTTCAAATCCATGAACTGTGTTCAGGACAGGTCATGTTACCCATCAGCATTTCTTCTGCATTTCCTGGAATAAAATAGCACTTTGCCGTGTTAAAAAAAAATCATCATCATTGCAAAAATCACTGGCATTATGTCCGGCTGAAACTTGACCAAGGCCCACCCAGTTAGTGAGTTTTATGGCTGAGCTGGAATTTGACCCCAAGGCCAGGCCAACCTCAGGTGACAGATCTAGGCTGCAACTGAGACATAGGAAACTGTGGGCAAAGTTTGCCTCAGGTAACTCAGCCCTGGGATTTTAGATTCAACGTCAGGGGTATCACAGAAGCACCTCCAAGATGGCACCTCCAGATCTTTCACAAGACATAAGAATAACTATAACTGCTAACACTGTGAACTCTTTATCTAAGTATATGGACGCATGTCATTTAGAACGCAGACTTGCTCATTTTATGCACTTTTTTCAACTATACAATATTCTTTTTTGAAAGATTGGAACTAAAATCGGGTTATTATAGAGCCGGAAAAGGAGCAGAAAAAGGAAATCAAAATGATCAAGGGGCTGGTTGTGGGTATGTGTCATTATGTCGCCTGTGTGTTGTGGCGACCCTAGCAATGAAAGCCCTCCAAAATGTCGTCTCCATGATACTCTTGCTCAGCTGTTCTAAATCCAAGGCTGTGGCTTACTTGATGGAATGGATCCACCTCAGGGTTGGTCCTCCTTTTCTTCTTCTGCCTTCGACTTTCCCCAGCACGATCGTTTTGCACAGTGAGTCTTGCCTTCGTACAATGCACCCTAAGTATGGCTGAGTCGCTTTTATAATTATCAAACTCCTTGCATGTGGAAAGTGAGAATGAGAAGGACAAGAACTCCAGGCTAGCTTAGCCCACCCCCTGGCATGCTCATCTTTAGGTGCATGGTGTTTGGTAGCATTCAGACATGCAGTCCAATCGAGGCTGCAACGTGACATCCAGCGGGAGGCACACCACGGGTTCTTGGAAGCCGCTTCAGTATGTAGATGGTAGCATGACAGAGTGAAACCCACATCACATCCAATGCTATGCCATCGAGGCATCTTGTTCCATGTATGTGGGCGGGAAGTCCAAGATGGCACGGGAAATGTGTGCCGTCTCGTGCTGGCCCATCAGCGCAAGGCTTGCGTGCTCATCTTCTCTGTTCTAATCTTAACCTGCTACCTTCCTGCCAGCCGTGTTTCCTTTTCCGAAGAGCTGAACTCCAAACCAGCTCAGCCCTGCGAGGCTCAGCTTGGCTCGTCCTTTGCCACTCGTTTGCTTAGGAAATTCCAATGAATCAAATGCGGCCCCAAAATGTGCTTGGCAGCAGTTCTGGACACAGCAACCCAGGGTGGGAACCAGAGCGAGCGTGGGGTCGGCAGATCAGATGCGAAGTGCTGCAAAGGCAGATGGGGCAATGGACACAGTGTCCCCCGGATCTCTGCGGGAGGATGCGCAAGGCCTCTCTGGACCGTGTGACCCTCTTCAAATACACGTTTATGCTCCCCCTGCTCTCCACATTCCTGGCTTTGCTCCCGCCAGTATTTCCATCTCCGCTCCTTTCAGCCCAGCCTGTTTTATATCAACGCTCTGACTTCATTTCCTGAATGCAGAGACAGGAAGGTGTGTAAAGAGCTGCCGAGGGCTGAGGCCTTCAAAGCGCTGGCTGCGCACCCCAGCCATGTGTTAGCAATCAGGCATGTGTGTGGTGACTAAGACATCCCCGCAGCAGCCCCAGCCAAGGGACTCGGACGGACGGGGCCGGCGGCAGGAGTAGGGGCCGGCTGGCCCGCCGGCCCCAGGGAGGGGGAGGCAGGCTTCGGCTCTGGCCCAAAATGCCTGCGTTGCGAGCTCCCAGGCGTTTCTTCCTTGTGCATGAGACTTGAAGGGGGTTGCAGAGAGGGAAAGGCCCGTTGCTCGCGGCAGGATGACATCTGTATAGACGCCAAGGTGTCGCCTGGGGCGACTCGGGGAAAGGGAAGTGGTAGCACGATTTCAGCATGCGAGACGTTTTGCAAAACTGGAGGTGGAGGGTGCGAGGTGATCCCTCCTCCTCAACACACACACACGCACACACGAAACAATGATTACGTCTTGAGGAGGCAGCCTTATTCTCATTCTATGTTCATGGCTGCCTTTCAGCACATATTCCCCAAGAAGCTTAGCAAACATAAATAGAAAAATACAACCTTAAAATCCATGACAATAATTGAAAACCACAACTGCTTATGCTGCCATCTGATATATACCGTTTTCTCCTAACCGCCTGCCTGGTGGGAGAAATAATAGGACCAGTTCCAGTACCCGGCATGCTCAGGCAGTGGTTGAAGCTCCAGCAGGGCCCCCCACAATGATTCTTTTTCTTATGAGGTTTAATTTCCCACAATGCCCCAAGGAAAGGCTATGTCAAAGGATTGCAGCAAGTCAGAATGGTGGCTGGGTCCCTCTTCCTGATGCTGCTCTACAGAAAAGCCCACCGAGGTCCCTGGTTGTTTGAGGGGATCAACTCTGCCTAAGCCTCACTTGAACCCAAAACCAAATCTGGGAAGCGTTATCCCATCATAGGCCCTCTTTTTCCACCTTGAGGATTTCTCAGCACAAATTTTGTCAGTGCGAGTTGCTACCCTGGTCATTCTCCAGGGTTCCCAGAATCTCCAGACCTGCCTTCTCCAATCTGGTGCCCACCAGGTAGGTCGAACTCGACTTTCATCCTTGTGTCCAGCATGGCCAATGATCACACTGTGTAATTTCCAGTTTAAGCAAATTAATTTCTAGCAGACATTAACAGCTTCCAGATATCCACAGAAATAGCAAGTTGAGGAGCTCAAGGGCCTCTAAAGTGTGCGAACACACCGCACCCTCCAGGCCATAAAGAAGTAAAAAAACGTGCTTTTGGTGCACAGGGGGAGTACACAATTTGCAGTTCATGTTTTAAAATGTCTTAGCCCAGGAATGCTGCTCTACCTCAGGAAAATGTCATGTCACCACTTTCTTTCTAGTCATGTTTATTTGCAAATTAGGGCAGAATGAAAAGTGATTTCTGAATTAAGAGGGAATCGCCACCCCTACTTTTAGCCAAATCATGACTCCCAGCCTGTGGCTTTCAGCAAACAGTAGCTGAGAGGACTGGAACTAAAGGTCAGGGGGCAAGCCCTCTGTCTTCCTTCTAGGAGCGATGCCTTTCCTGTCACTGCTTAGGCCATTGCCGAGAAAGATTCCACCTAGCAAAAAAACCCTCCAATTACTGCAAAACCAGGAAGAAGTTTGCTAATTAAGAAGGGATTCTTCTCAGTTGCGGCAGTTGTGACTAATGCATTCCAAGGGACGCATCTGCACCTCCTTCAGCATTGAAAACCTGCCATGCCACTCTGGACATGAATATCGGCAAAACTATGACATTTCCCTATCAGAAATAGGAATGGAGGGGGAAGCCAGGCTTCCCTCTGCCCTACTGATAAGAAAATCATTTGTGTATGTGTCTGAGAAAGAAAGCAAGAGAGAAAGCACTTCCACGTCCTGATTTATGGGAGATTGCGAAATAAAGATCCTAACAATGCTAAAAAAAAATGTTGTCTGCCCGTTTCCTTTTTCTTGGATGTTAGCATGTTTAGCTTTGCTCTGCTTTCCTCCCCTCTGCAAAGTCTTCAGTGAGGAAAGTTGAGGCACCGTTGTGAAAATACTGCTGTGAAACCGCAGGAAGGGGTGGGGGAAAGGAGGGAATTAGTCCTGTCTCAGTGCACGTCCCTCTTGCTGACCTGAGAAGGAATCATCATCCCTGATTCTCATCCCACTACACTGATGGAACAGACTAGATGTCTTGGCTTGAAGATTCGGCAACCCAGATACCTCTCACAGCTGCCTTCTTGTAAACGGGCAAAGCAGGCCAACTGAGCAGCACTCAGATGAGCGTGTTCCACTTTCGCCTTTTCCTTATCTTTGGATGGCTGCAGTTCAGAGCGTGTTCAAAAGGACAGGGCAGAGGAGGCTGATGACAACTGATCTGCAACGGTGATGTAAGGTTTCTTCCTTTTCCAGCGAGGAAAGGAACAGACGGGGTGCTAAGGTGGGGCTGCAGAGGTGGATGGGCAGTCCGTTTCCCCCTGCAGGCCCAAGGTTCCTCCTGGTGAGATGCCGGCATCTCATCTACTTTGGTGCAGATGGCCAGTTCTGCAACGGAGCCCATGGAGTGTTCCGATGTGTCCCACGTTGTGCATCCCCCAACCTCGGAAGCTAAGGAACACTACGAAGACGGAGGCAGCGGAGTTCCACGTGACCAGATCGGCTGTTTGTTTGCTTTGGTTTCATTTGGGCTAAACTGCGGATTCCGAATCGCCCCTTCTCGGTCCCCCGCCCTGGCTCTCCTGTGCGTGCTGGTGGGTTTGCATATTGTACATAAAGCCCTCTTTATCCCTGCAGCCCCAGAGAGGAAGTTGAGCACACGGCCCAGGGAACATCTGGAATCGCTACATGGGAGCCGCGCACCAGAGGGAAGACGACATTCCTTGAGTTTCCATCCAAGGTATGGAGCCTTCTTCTCCCCCTCCTGTGCAACCTTATCCACCAGGCGGCTCAGTTCCTGTTGAACTTTGACCTTCTCGGCAGCTGGCAGGCTCCTCCTCCAAGCCTAGTTAGTTTTGCAGTGCCACGTCAATTGCGGCAGAAGTGCAGAAGGGAAGCAAGAGAAAGAACGGAGGGAGGGAAGGAGGGAGGGAGGGAAGGAAAGGAGGGAGGGAGGGAGGGATGGTGCAAGGACCAGCATAGGGAGGGAGCACCGATGAGTGCCAGATGCAGGGTGGGGGTGGGGAGGCCACAAAGGAGGGGGAGCCGGATTGCTTTCGTGGTAGCCAGATGCTAGCTGAAAAGGCAAGTGGCCAACGCAGGTCAAAGAGCCCTTGTGGCAAGCTTGGTGACAAACGCTGGGTGCCGTTCGCCCCGTTTGCTCTGGATGTCAAGCCGACTGGGGCTCCTGGAGGCAGCCAAACAAAAACAAACCAAAACATCCTCCTCCGGTTTCATGGAAGCACCATGTGGATTCTTCGGGCCTTGAATGATCCTCTGCCAAGAGCCGGCCAGATGCGGGGGTCCCAGATAGAGCCGGGGAACCTCTAATTCCTCAGTATGATCCGCTGCGTGCATCTCACCCCTTTTTCCGTTGGCGGTGGATGTTGCTTTATTTGATTTTGTCTATTTTCCTCCCCAAAAGGAACCTGCAACGCAGCCGGAGGTGCCGGGTGATTGCCGACGGATGGAGAAGAAAAGAGCTTGATGGCGCACTAGGTTCCGAAGATGAAGGAAGTTACCAAGTGCGCACCTAGGTGCCTTCGCTGGCAGCAGATGAAGTAAGCTGCGTCTTTCAACAGGACATGGTCTTCCCATTGCTTGTGTGCTCACTGCTTCCCTCCCCCCCCCTCCCTCCCTCCCTCCCTCTCCCTCTCCGCACTCCTTGCAAATGGACAGCCTAGAGGCAGGAACTGGGCAAGGGAATTAGTGCGCCTCCACCGCTCACCGGATTTCTGGACACAGAGGCTCCACTCCGTCTGCCCAGTGTTCGGACTACCTGTTCAGGACTACGAGATTGCACAGTAGTCTGCACATTGGCTAGGCTGTGCTGGGATATACCACAGACACGGTTGCCCCTATGTGGGGACGGAAACCAGCGCTTGCATGGCAAAGGAACCCGCTGCATGCCAACCTCACTTCTCCTCTGCCACATCCTCAACCCTTCACAAATCTCCATCTTGATCTTGACATCAGACTTTTAACTCTCTGGCCTCTCTCCCCACCCCCACCCCCCCAGCCCCAGCCCCAGCCCCGGTCTCTCTTCCTTTCCTTTACCCAGGAACGCAGGTGCAGAGAGCCGTGTTGGGTGCAGAGCCAAGAAATTACTTGGGATGGCATGATTCATCCGCTGGCTCGTGTTTGTGCGAGCAGAGGGACATTAGCCAACAGTCCACTGCCCACTGACTTGCTTAACGACTGTCTCGGGGCTTGCGTGCAGGTGGCTGCGAGGGAGAGAATTTTTGATGAAAATGTTGATCATTAAAAAAAAAACCTGTCAAAAGGTTTGCAGTTTCAAGGTTTTTGAAATACTTTCACATGTATGTAAGACCTTTTATTCAGTGTGAGGTGAAAGTCGTCAGGTGAGTGAAAGAGAAAAGGGGGAGAGAGGGAGAGAGAGAGAGAGAATGAATGGGGAAAACTGGGCAAGAATGATAAAGAACTAGAGATGCGTTATATGGAAGTGCACAAATTCTAGTCTGTGCTAAGAGCTACTGTGATATCTGTGAGAGGGGCGCTGAGACAGAAAACAAAAGTGTACTCCTTGACCCTGAGAGATTAACTGGCTTGTTGCATCATGAGATTTTGCAAAAACTGCTCTGTTTTGTGAGATGCCTGGTGTAGCGCAAAGATCTTGCGACGGGTGAACCAGTTCACTGCCCGGCAGAACTCATGCCGCAATTAGTTTCTAGAGAGCCACAGACGTTTTTGTCCTCTTGCCTCTCGTGTGGGATGGCTTCCAGGACAGAGATTAAAAGCAGGGGGTGGGGAGGGAGGGGGAATTGCAACAAAATTCCGTCCTGGCACTGAACGGCCCTAGTTATAGACATATATCTTGATTTCAGAAGAAGCTCAGGCGACAAAAGGGGAAGCAGACTGATCAACAGGGGTTTTCAAGGCAGCTTGGGAAGGCAATACATTTCGGGGTGGTTTCTGTGCGGCTCTGCAATCCACAAAAATGCGTTTCAACTAGCTGCCAGTTCTGCTGCTCAGCATCCGCGCCCCCAGGTTTTCTGCCTCTTAAAGAAGCGTAGAACTGTGCCGCGCACTACCTATAACAGGACGCATCCTGATGGAGGGCTAAGAGGGATCATGCACCTCTTCCACCTTTGATTTCTTAACAGATTTTTTTCTGATTCAAGAAGAGGCAGGAGAAACAGCAGGAAAACACAGGAGGACTACAAAGGATGGTAACATCTGGAAACCCATCCCTCCATAAATATGCCATGGATGAGGCAGTAAAACCTCTAGGTAACTCGAGAGGTTTTCGAGGTGGCTGAAATAACTTTTTGCTTGTTGGGTTGGATCCAGATTGGAACATATGAAACTATGCAGGGCTTCTATGTCCCTTCCTCCCCACAGCAGCCCCTGCAGCCCTCTAGAAACACTTCACAGAGGACCAGGGGGACCCTGGTGTAACGGATGAGTTGTGATGAGCGGGAGGTCGGGCGGGGGGGGGGGGGGGGTCCCGGGAAAAAGGGGGGGTTTTGGGGGGGGGGGGGGGGGGGGGGGGGGGGGGGCAGGTTCCTGCAAAATCAGTGGATTTTGGATCAGTGGAAGCCTGAGTGGATCCCTTCTGTTCACAGGAGGCAGATTCTGGACCCAACCCATAGTACTTAAACCCTGCCACTTGAAAGGGGTCCAAACGCAAGCAAAATTTGTTCCATAGGAACAGCAGTGAAATTCATTCAGTTGACATTTTAATGTGAATTGCCTGATTTTGCACTTTCAAACCACTGTGCAAACTGAAATGCAGCCCTTGTTCAAAATTCGCTGTGCTCCGAATTTTGCAATCCTGTGATACATTGAAAATCCTGCACATCTATTATGAAAAACCAGCTTCAAAAATTATTCTTAATTAGGAAAATTACTTACAAAATTAGCACATGTGGGAAAGTGCATATAAAATGCATGTATTATGAATAATGTGTCCAAAAATGCTTATAAAATTTTATGTAAACTTTAAAAAAGCCTTAAAGTTTAAGATGAAGGAATTTTTGAACTCTGAAGACATTTTCAGAGTTCAAGACTCTGAACTTGAAAAATGAAAGAGAGAGAAAACAAAATTTTCAGATTTACCTAATTTTTAGATCACTGAAATATAAGGGGGAAGACAGTGAGTAGTTCTGAATTTTACTCAATGAAGGCAACGTTTAATTTAGCATGATAATGGAAAAGAGGACACCTCTAGGCATGTACAGAGAGCTGTTCTTATGGCAGTGAGGAACCAAACCCAAACACAAGAACTCGCAAGGCCGAGGGAGAGACTGAGTGGCAGCCTTCTTAAGGATTTAAGCTCCAGGAGAAGGTCGCAGTAAACAGAAAATATGAATAATCCCATCCAATGTAGTTGACTTCCCAAAGGCTTCGGGGACAGAGGCCAAACCACAGATGCATGCCAGTTCAGTGCAGAGACAGGGCATAGGTTAAGAAATCCCAGAAATCAAAGAGGAGCCTGATGAATGTGTCTATTATTCAGAAGGAAGTACAAGTTCAGGCTGCGTTGTCATTCACGCATTGTTTTCTCAAAATAATTTGGCATGGGTTTAGTAATTACCTCTTAACATGCCTTAAACACTGGCCCATTTTTATCTATACATTATAAATGGAGCTGCAGAAAACAAAGAGAAGAGGCCAAGAACTTGTCCTTTTCAATCCATCCAGGCATTTGTGTCTTTTGTGTTATTTATTTACTTACAAGATTTATATACCTTCCCTTATGCTAGTATGGAGATTTTGAGTGAAAGCAATGCAAGATAAAATGGATATAAGGGAGAAAACAATGTTCTAAGGACAAAATCAATAAAACTGTGGAGGGTTAGTTCAGGATGGGCTCCACGTGCAAGACCGCCAGGGACAATGTCCATTGACGTTGACATGCCACTTCAAGGAGCCCGTGTCAAGGACTACAATCCTCCTACTCTCCATATGATCCACACGACAACGCTGTGAGGTAGGGTGCACTGAGAGGCAGTAACTAGATCCAAGTCACTCAGTGAGCTTCATGGCTGAAGGGGGACTAGAGCCCAGAAGGAATACATTATAAGCAAAAGGACAGTGGTTTTGCACATCTTCGCCTCAACACCTGCACGGATGCATCTCTACACACGCTTATGAACAGGATGCACATCCAAACATTAGCGGTACACATCAAAGGGAATGCTTGCATACATGTTACCAAGAAAAAGAAAGGAAGTTTATCGTAACCGAGTAAATTGTTGGGTAAATATACAAAGGATAAATCATGAGCCACCCACCCGCTGGAATGCTTAGCGATAACAGGACGCCCAAGTGCTGGAGGCTAACAGCTGGGGACAAGGACGGTGATGGATGAAGCAAGGGTCCTGCAGCCACCCAGCCACCATTAGCAGCATGTGGACAGACGGCGCAGCATTTCCTGGTATAGTGAAATGTATTGCATTTCTCTTTAAATCATAGGAATTATATCTAAGGACACAATCCTATGCAAGTTCAGACAGAAGGAAGGTTTGCCACTCCCAGCATGATCCACACTAGCTTCTACCTAAACTGGCATAGGACTGTGCCCAAGACGTGCTTTTATACATATTGATTAGCAAATTGTATACAACGGTCTTCTTTTGTCCTCTTTTGTGCAGATGACTTTTTTTGGGGGGCGGGGGGATGCGCTAGTAATATTGCGACAAGTACCCTCGCAGATTTAAACACCACATTATAGCACCTGGAAACACCAAGAAAGCAGAAGTAATCCAACAGAAAGGCATAAATCCATATAAGAGTACATTAATATGTATGGCATTATTCATTATTTTGTATAAGCCACCTTTTCTTGTTTCTTCAACCAGACTGGGTTTTGCATTTAAAGAAGAACTCTCAGATGAAAATAAATGTTCTTGTACATCTATTTAAAAATCATTGCACTTTGCTTGCTTTTCAAAATATGGTGTGTGTCTATGTAGGGGATATACCTACAAAACTGCAAATAGATGCAGGTCTAGTATTCTCAATTTCTGAAGCCTCCATTTTGCACACACTGAAACAGAGTGGGCAAAAGATTTATTTCTCTGTAATCTTAGGCCTCCTGTTTCTTCTCTGAAACTCCGTGTTTGGATGTTGGGCTGCTTACTGACCTTATCTTTGATAATGACCCTGAAAAATTTGCATTTCTTGTTGCAGTGGCTCCCATAATTAGTTAGGGGCAGTGCAAAGAAAGGCTTTCTCTTCTCTACAGGAGGCGCTTGTTGTGTGTGTATGATTTTGCACTTGTTCTAGTTTGAGGGTATTTTACACAATGCTCTCTCCTACAGGGCTTCTTCTGGGCCTCCCAAGCATTTCTTTGGGGATTTTCCCCTCCTGGGAATCAAGAGAAGTGTAGTATTATCTGGAAATGGCAGAACGAGTCTGAATGAGAAGCTCATATATTTTTGCAGTTCTGCTATACTGCAATGCCACCTTGTGATTGCATAATGGAAAGAAACCCCCCAGGAGGAAAAATCCCACAAAGAATTCAAAAGAGGGTGCCTCAATTAAGTGGCCCTTAAAAGCCTCATGTAAAGAAGCCCTAAATCATGTAAAGAACCCTAAACCTTGAGCGGAGAGGAAGGACTTAACTTAGAGCTGAAAAAATAATGGGGCAGGCCTTGTCAGGGAGATTGTCCCATAACTGAGGGGCCACAGCTGGGAAGCCCCCCCCCCCCCATTGCTACCTCCCAAGTCTCCCAAGGAAGAACCACCTGGAGGAAGACCCTAAAGGATGAATGCAGATAGCATTTTTTTTTAAAAAGTGGCATAAATAGTCTACTTTTAAAGAGCTGATACTGGAATGAGCCTCTTACGAAACAACTTCTCTAGCTAGTGGTGGGATCTTCTGAACAGAAACCAAGGCCACTGGTTATGAGAAATCACCTTCCTGGGATCCCCTGGCCAGTCCAGCACATGCAGAGTTCTGCTGGAAGTACTCCTTGAAGGAAAACTACAAAGAGCCTTGTGGTACTAACAAATAGCTTTTGTGGGTACTGTCCCACCTGAGCAAATTTGGAGTCCCTTTGTAATATGCATCCCATGAAGTCAACAATATTAAAGAAAACTTGTGCCAGAATAAATTTGTAAGTCTTTAAGGCAGTCTTTCCCATCCTGTTGCTTGCCAGATGTGTGGGAATGGTTGGGGATCCAGCACACCTGGAGAGCACCAGGCAAACAGGGGTAGGCACCTCCAAGTTGTGTTTGCTCTTCCAGACTGACCCAGCAGCCCCTCTGGAAATCCCCGAGGGAAGCTGTTCCTTCTTGAGGCTTCTTCTTAAATCAGCC